ATTACACCATTTGTATTGTCATATCGGTGACACCACCCACTGCTTCTGCTTCAGCCCCCATCCCACCCATCACTCACCCCCTCCTTCCCCCCCTGATTCTGTCCCTCGTCTGCATGTGTGCTGCTTGAAGTCTACAAGTATCTGCCCATCTTCTGTCTCTCCTCTGTCGTACCTGTCACTCTCACCCTTGTCTCCTGCCTCGTCTCTGTCCCTCATCTGTCATGTCTGTTATGCAGCATCTATTCTCCACCTTACTGTCTCCGAACAAACAGTTCCTGCTTTCCTGTCATCTCCCCCAATCTGTGTTCTTTCCACCAGGCCCTTTCTACCTTCTACCCTCTCCTGTTATATGCGTCCCATCCGCTTCCCCACTCCCGCTCTCCCCTCCAAGCCCCGCATCCTGTCCCGCCCCCAATTATGTCCGGTCCTCCGAGCGGCGCTCCCTGCAGGTGCGTCCGCTCCCTTTGAACGGCCATACCTGGTATTTTTCCCCTCCTCTCGCCTCTGTCTCTTTTCTTCTGCGCGGTGCTCAGCCTCTCCACTGGATGCGGAGCTGTGAGTCACTGCAAGCGCTGTGCGGAATTTTAAATCCCGAGCCCAGACCGAAGCTTCTACCTCGACAGAATCTGTTTATCTGTGATTCTCCACCGTCCCCAGTGCTGCTCAGCTCACCTCGTCCCTCGCAGCCCTTTCATTGTGTTGACAACAGCTGCCCGACGGTGGCAAAGTGGCAATTACAACGTGTTATTGCCACACGTACAACCTGAAGCGTGTTCCCCAGCAAGACCCTGCTTTTACCCCAAGAATAGCCTCCCTTTTGGTAATAGCGTCTTCAACAGACAAAATGTCCACACTGAATAGCAGATGTCTCCCGGTTTCATATCTGATGGGGAGTGTGGACATCTTTGTGGACGACTATTGCAAACAACAGCTGGAGTTACGTCAATAAAGCCCTGAGGAGGAATTTAAAAGGAAATGGTGTTATTTTTCCACCTGGTTCTCGTTCTAATAGTTCTGTCCGTCAGACTATTGATAATAATTACAACGAGAGATTAGGAAAATGTGAGGCAGCAGATCACAAAAAACGTAAGTAGTCCCATGACCCCGGGCCGAACATCACACTCCCAATAGTGAACTCATTCCCGTAGTTGTGACCTCCCTCTACATTGTAATGGCTGCCGTTCTTGCATTCCCCAAATACGTTTACAGTTTCTCCTCTTCATCCCTGCTGGGAGGAGAACGCTCCTCAATGTGAGTGCAAAGATCAGGGTGACGATCTGCGGCCCTTGTTCCACATGAGCTCGTACTTAGTTACAGGTACAGTCCCGTTAACAACATTAGGTAACTGCTCCACCACAGCTCGGCAAGGAAAGTATATCCACTGGACCTTTCTACTGAAAATATTCTAACTAAGATATACATTTTTATTTGACTCGTAGGGACTTCCAGAAGTCATTTGATTCGGCTGTGGATTTTGGACCCTGTTGCCTTTGAAGAGGTCTCTCCAGTAAGGGATCACTTCAAAGCGACAACAGTTGTAGTGACCAACAGTACTGTTAATGTACATATGAGAATTAGATTCATGTTTTAGGAGAAACATGTGAAAATACGTCCCTGTCCTTTAAGGAAATGTTGTGGGTCCGTCTGTGGTTCAAGAAACCCGTTCAGAAGCCGACGGTTTAATCCCAGATTCGAGGCACCTGCTGTATCACTTTAAGTCGTGTGGCGAGCTGCTGAACCCCCGCCTGCACACCGAGTCCCTCAGGATGACAGAACCTGCTGGAGAAGTAAATCTGTAATGCACATTCTGTGACACCAACAGTACATCCTCCTCTATTCGGGGCACCAACCCAACAGCGATAAACATGTGCAGGAACCTGCTCCTGTGTGTCTGAGCTTTACAGAGTTTGTCTGTAAATAGTCACGCATTCTCACAGTGGCCACTGCCGAAGTGTAAAACGCGGCTTTCAGATGCAGCCTTTCATTATATCTCCCACCTGTCGGGCGTTCTGCTTGTGCCGGGCTCAGTGGGAATCTGAGGGAATGAAAGGATGCTTTGAAAGGCTTCCTGTGTGTTGTCTTTCTTCATTGGTATTCTGCACGCAGGAAGTGTTGGGTGCAGAGGTTCCTCCAACCTCCCGTGGCTTTTCTCCTCCAGGTCTCGCCCTGTTCCTGTTAAAGCACTGATTTGCAATGCCACGTAATCCTCAATTAACTATCTCTTTCTTTTATATAAACGCCAGACTTTTGCATCTTTAAGAGTGATTTCTTCCAATTTGCCCAATTCTCGCCTCCTCAGCTCAAGCCGGCGCGGCGGCACTCTGGAGTAGCAGAGCACCACCTTTTGGCCGACGTCCCAAACTGCAGCCGGTTTTAGGCGGAGAGAATGCGGCACTCAGGGGCGATCTCCCTGCAATGCAACTTGTCGACAGCCAAGATTGGGAGGCATTTCAATTTAGCATTCATAGGATGTCAAAAAGAGAACAATTCAGCCAGACGCATCACGGTTGTGATTCACACACGTACACAACCCCGGCTCTCTCACACACACACACTTAATCTTTAACTGGTGGCGAGCGTGTCACACCACTGCGCGCCGAGCAAGCCGAGACGAGGAATCAATGTCCATCCTCTTTCTCTTTCTGCGTCTTCGAATCAGTGCATTTCACAGCAGGCGTCACAACGGAGAGACGCTTTTATCCGAAACACCAAAGAAAAGCTGTGGAAGAGCTGATACTGCGGCTCGTGTGTCCTCCCTGCTGCCATGTCTAAACACATTTCACCTTTTCCTCTGCGCTGATGAAACAAGTGCGTGAAGGATTTCTATTCATCTTGCTCTTTATTCCCTGGTAACTGTACCCGGGGTACCACTACCCCAGCAAAATGTAAATACGGGTGTTACAGGTTTGAACTGATTCAGGCTTCCTAAAACTAAATTGATCCCGTGGGGGTTTTCCACCGTTTCTCCGGCTGTACTTTTCAGTCCACTAATTAGGAGTGAAACTTGACCTCAGCTTCTCGGAGCCCATCGACCTCATCCAAGCCCTGCTGGAGTTGAGCGTTAATGTCACGCTCGGTCTTGGCCTGTGCCCACGTGAACTCTTCTCAGCCCATAAAGTTGGCTTTATATTTGGGAGCTGACTCGACTGAGACGTGACTTCTGACTTTATTAAATTACAGTACGTCTGAAACCCTCGTGCCGAAAGTGGGATAAGTGTTTTAATAAGAGGGGTGCGTTACCTGAAATTTGAAAAAAGGAATCGAACGTAAATTTGAGATGTTTTTGAGGTTTCGAAAGGGGGGGTTTTGTCCAGAAACAAGGTTATATGCTAAAAAAGTCTGTGAGCTGGGAGATATTTTAACCTGTCAAAAGGGGCTCTAGTGATTTATTGCAGCAGAGCAAAGAGACCAGACGACAAAAATACCTGTTGTGACTGGCACATCCTCTGCATGGATATCACGCTAATGCATCAGAGGTTAGAGTAACCATAGCAACTCTATTTGGTGTGGGAAATTTACATCCGACGACATTGCGGTTCCCAAACTCTTCATCCCCCTCATCCTCAAGCAGAACAAAAACAATGAAGCACAAACCGAACCTGTCAGCCCGTCTTTCCATAAGTAAAAAAAAACAGTCGTATTTCTTTATTCAGAACTCAATGTGGAATTTGAGACCTATAGTATCAAAAATGTAAAAGTTGAGTGTTAAATCTACCACCGTTTTCACTACAAACTGCACATGTGCGGATCCAGAATGGAAAGTATGAGAGCTAACAGGGTTGATGCCTCGTGCATTATTATAATATGAGTAATATTACATTATTTAAGACGGATTTGGCATGTTTAGCTGTGCGTAAGTGGCTCAAGTGGAATCAAACAGCACACAGCCTTTTATTTATTCTAATGAGGCTTCAGCCAGGACTCCGTTTCCTCTCTGGCTGCGAACTGTCTGCAGCGCCGGCTCCACTAAGCACGCTGCCTGTTGCATCACAGGGACAGTTTGCTATCGCCACGTCTCATAACTTCACACGGAGCTAAATATCAGAAGGTGGTTCTGCCACATGGTGGTAATTTCAGCTCTCGGGTTGCAACAATAGAGGTATCTCCACTGAACTGACGGATAATGGCAACGCACTTTCAATGCGATAAGGACTGGCGCTGCACGGCATGACATTTAATCGTGACAAGTAGTAAATATCTCACTGGGAAATGTACGGGAAAAATCATTTGTAGACTCCGTATCTCTCTGAGATCAGAGAGGTTAGCAGTGGGTTTTACATGTGTTTGCTTCTGCAGGCGTACCGTTTCCTCGCCGCAAACAAGAAGCTGGGGCTGAGTGGCCGTCCAGAGAGGCCAGTGGGCTGCATTGGGACCTGCAAGGTATATGGATCGCATACCGGGACACATGGGACTCATGGGGGACCACTAACACGCCTCCCACGTGTTGATCTGCATACGGCCCCCAGAGCTCTGAGACAAAATATTGAGATCCGAGTATTTCCCCCTGCCAAATGTACAGTATGCATCAGTGAATGCAGAATAGGTTCTTTGCATATGCTAAGCTGTCGGGCATGCGCGTGTGTGTGTGTGTGCGTGTGTGTGTGTGTGTGCGTGTGCGTGCGTGCAGGATGTTGTTTACAGCTTCTTCCAAGTCAAGGTCATCAAATAAGTAGAGGCAGAGCAGCTTGGTCAAACAAAGGCATTACCCAACAAATGAATCATGGCTTCCAATGAATTGCTAAGGCCGAGTTATAATGGGACATTTATAGGGGAGATGGCAGACTGCCAGAGGGCATTACCATCACCAGTGTGTGTCTATAAGGGAGTGTGTGTATGGGTGAGCCCCTGTGGCAATCTGTATGTGACAGAGGGGGGGCTTTATTTTCACTTTGGGACTTTTTTTCTTGTCGCGGGCCACTTTTTCTTTCTTTTGCCCCCACCACCCACATTTAGGGATTGATGGGTGCATTCATAAGCGGCCCAGAATAAGGTATATGTGACTACTTGGGAGCCATCCCGTCTTTCTTATGCAACGGTTGTGTGTATGTGTGTGCTCACCTCCCTCCAGATTTATCGGATCCTTGGCAAGACGGTGGTGTGCCACCCGATAGTGTTTGATCTGAGTGACTTCTACTTGTCCCAGGATGTTATGCTGCTGATCGATGACATTAAGGTAAGTCGGGGTCACAGTCTTTGAGCTCACTGACGCTGTTACGGCTCCACAGCCGACGACTTGTTACGCGCTCAAAGGACTTTCTAGACAACGAATCAGCTGGTTTGGGTCGCATGCTCGTTTGGCGCAACGCAACAGAAAAGAGCACCTGCTAAGCGTCGTAGCAGGCAATATTCTTCTGGACGCTGGCCTTATTCAAGCAATACGCTTATTGAGTTTGACTAAATCTCTTTTAATTGTTGCCATAGAGCAGTGAAACAGTGTGTAGATGGTGGCTGGCCGGCTTATTGTTCTAAAAACTTAAACTTAAACTTGCTGAGCCTGGTGACCTAGTTGTGTTGGGGGCCATGTAATCCTCTGACTTCCCATTCAAATCCTGCCACGGGCCTTTTACGAATAGAATACGAAGGGAAAACCGAAACTAAACACAGAATTGAACACAACTGTAGAAAAATAGTGCATGTTGAGTGTTGCCACTGACGTATATGTGATGTTTACCTCTTACGACTGCATTGGAACACCTACTAAACTCTAGTATATTTGGTACTTCAATTAATCTTCCTTATCAATAACTTTGATCAGATGGTGATGGATGATGAGGTTGAACTTGCCACTGATTCAGTCTCTGCTCATGCCAGTGAAAATCTGATTGTGTGTGTGTCTGTGTGTGTGTGTGTGCAGAACGCCCTGCAGTTCATCAAACAGTGCTGGAAGATGCAGGGACGGCCGCTCTTCCTGGTTCTCATCCGGGAGGATAACATCAAGTAATAAACACACTCCACGTTGGCTCTTTTATCCCCCTTTTAATGTCCTCCTGTCCTCCGATGGCTTTCTTACAGCACTCTTCCTCCACTTATCGGCCCCGTCATCACACTCTATCTCTCTTTTTCTCTCTGATAATTGATCGAGGTCGCCACAAAATTCTGCGACAGGCACAATGCAGTTTGGTTCCTTTTTTAAATCACTCATATCTCCCTCCCTCCCACTTTAGCTCTCTTCCCTCCCACATGCACTGCTATTTATCTTCATAGCGGCAAGGTGCAACTGAATTTGCTTGCTGATTGGGTGATAATGTTTCTCATTTGTATCACTGTAGGGTGACTGGTGGGTTGATTGAAGCGGTATTGACAATTTTCCAGAAAGCTGTGTATTTAAAATTAGCTAGGAGCGTTTAAACAGCCACACTGCAGTATCTGAAAATGATTCAGTGGGTTCTCAAAGAAGAAAGTCAATAGTCATTAGTTTGCTATTGATTGGGATGAGGACCCGTATGGAGGGTAAACGCACACTGGATAAAGCAGTGAAGGTCTGGTGTGAATACGGAGATGTTTAACACGCGTGTTCTGTTTGTGATCCACTGGTTAACACGGACGTTTAGGCTTCGAGTGACACAGATTCACGCTGCTGTCCGCTGTAGAAAAAGCCACACTTCATCCTTCCAACCTCTGTGTCACCAGGGGGAGCCGCTTCAACCCGGTCCTCGACATGCTGGCCTCGTTCAAGAAGGGCAACATCGGAGGGGTCAAAGTTCACGTTGACAGGCTTCAGGTTTGAAGTAGACTTGTTTATTACGGTATTGATTATTTCATTCGGTCATCACTCTTTGTCTCGGTGATGCGCGTTTGAAGGTTACAATGTTCTCAAAACAAACTTCAATTTGACTGATTTTATTTTTTTGTTGCCATGGAACTCGAAACAACCAGTTAGAAGGTTTATTATTCAAACATGGACTCGGGAGGACCAATTATTGTGGTTATTTAACCTTAAAAGCTCAGTAAATATGTTTGGCCGACCAGTAAATTGGATTTTAATCATTACAATTTTACAGCATTTTTTAAAGAAATGATTATCCACCCAACCTGTACCACCAATATCACTGCATCCTCTCAAATACACAATGGCTTGACATTGCTGATACAGGGCGTCCCAGCATTTAATCTAAAGTCCCTTCTTCTTTCAATAGCATTACCTATGTTTATCCGTGACGGGACCTTCATTCTGGGAGGGTGAGACAAGAGAAATGGAATTGAGCTCGGACGGTTTAAGGGGTGAAGCTTTTGTGGCTGGCAGGGAATAAAATGGAATGACCTTAGGGGGGCAGAATGAAATGAAACGGTGAGTCGACAGATTGGAGGTTGATCCTCAGTATTTCTTTCAGAGAGAAGAGAAACCTGAATGTAGAGAAATGAATCTACATCACAGGGCGAATGTGCCACAGACGCTATGAAGACACACTTTGATATGACAATGGATCACATGACTTCATGTAATGCGAAAGGTTTATAGCGCTCAAACCACTGATAGTAATCTCCTTGCTGAAGTATTTATGCCTCTTTTAGCCTTATTTCCATCAGCACAGTGTTCAGCGAGAAGCATTAAATCGGTTAGTTCGGGCTTAGTCAAAGTAAAACTTTCACACACGTATTGTTAGTGAGCATATATTGTACTTAAATACACAATTTGATTTAACTCGGTGAAATGTTTGCGGCATTCATTTCAATCAGCCGTAAACATTTGACTCCAGCTAGTCCTTATTTCTCATGGCAGATGCTATTGGTCCATGATGCAGGATGCGGAACACTATCACAGAATAAAGAAATAAGGCTGTGGTAGCTCCAGGATTATATTAAAGAAACCTTTCCAACGCTGTCTGAGTGTGTCTGCGGTGTTCAGCCGAGACTTCCTCTTATGATCTGATTTTAGTTCTTCCTCCTCCTGCCTATTTGCTATTCACTTTACAGCAAACTTTGAAACGCTTCCCCTCTTCATCCTCTCATTGTTCTGGGAATTGCTTTGCTTCTTATTTTTGTTTTGGAGCTGACATCAGTTGGAATGGCTAACACCACATTTATACCACAGGGGCGGGTCGCGTTGAGCTACGCTCGCTGCTCTCACACTGCTTTGCTTTCAAACTTGTTACCGCTCCCACACACATTGGTAACATTTGAAAGATTGAACTAAGTTTCCAACTTGCCACTCCGTGTGCTGTTTGTTATGAAGTGCATTGCTCAAACAGCTGTTTCGTATACCGAGTCCTCCGACAAACCTCCTCTTGTGGTTTTGTTGATCCGGGCTTTCTCACCTGTATTTCTGTGCTTCTGAATTTGTGCGTTCAGGACTACGATGTCCTGTGTAAATGTGCTAAGGCTTGTATATAAATAGAATACTCATTTTGCAAATCATAGAGGTGTCATTTCTTTCCTCATCGACCTGTCAGACTCTGATATCTGGAGCCGTGGTGGAGCAGCTGGACTTCCTGCGTGTCAACGAGGAAGAGTAAGAGTTCCCTCTAGTCTTTCAATACTTCATCAGTCAGAGGTCGGTTGAAAAAGCTCATTCAGGCTTTCCATGACAAATACAATTCAAATCTGACACGCATACAATGTGAGGATTATTTGTTCAGAGTGTAGACATGTGGACTTGATTTAAAATGTTTTTCAGGATCAAGGAATCAGTTAAGTGTATAATTCACAATGTGCCAAAGGAATGATGCCAGCGGCGTTTTCGTTGTTGAATTAATTGTGAAATGTTTCAAATCAAATTCAAAGCATCTACCTGTGGATCCACCTTGCACAAACAATTGTTGTGTGTGTGTGCGTGTGCATAGGATCCCAGAGTTTAAGAGCTTTGAAGAGCTGGAGCTGCCGAAGCACTCCAAGGTGAAGAGACAGATGAGCACGCCCAACGTCTCCGACCTGGAGCAGCAGCCAGAGATCGACGTGGACGAGTGGCAGCTGAAGCCCACCCACGAGATCATCCACAAGTTCCACGTGAGTTACTAGGAACTAGAGTATTCGTGAGTGGCGACCTTAAGATGGCGGTCCTGGTTTATTTCCTAAAATTGTTTTATTGTTTCCTTTTTTTTGAGTAAATGAAGGAGAAAAGCGATCATACATCACCAGGTGAACAGTGGGAGCTGCTGTGGTTAGAACAATCTCCATTATCGACCATGGAGGGAAATACTTTTATCCATCCATTCGTCTTCAAAGCTGGTTATCCATCAGTGTGGAAAACAACCTGTTATTTTACCCCTGTTGACGCACCACACATGTCACTTGTTAAATGTGTTAGAACCTCCACACAGCCGTGTTCTTTATACCATCGGTTCAAGTCTGCTCACTATTAACAGCTTGTCAATCTGCCTCTGGACTTAAATGTTTCATACAGACTTCAGCCCACGCCCTTCTGCAATTGTCACATGTCTTGTCTGTGGGGAATTCATGATAGAAGATGCAATGAAAGTCCAAAAACCCAAATCGCTCATTACTTCATTTCAACATGTGGCCACGTTAAAGCCACTAAATCTGATAACCACTTAGTATGTCCAGCAAGCCAAAAATATTCCTCCTCTCACTTCCATATTTTTGGCATGTTAAGGCTGCTTTCAAATTTAAATGAGGCAGTGTATAGAAAACCAACTCATCATTACCACGATTGCATAATTTGAACTATCAATAAAAGTAAAAAAATGGCTTGTTGGCGAAAGCAGAGAATATTGCAACCGTGTGTCATAAAGGCCCCGAAGCTGCTTTAGATCGGTTGTGTTTGTGTGCGTAACGAGCCTCATCTACCCTGTTGCTTCTGTGTGTGTGTGTGTGTGTGTGTGTGTGTGTGTGTGTGTGTGTCATTACCCAGGACTGCAACTGCTTGGCCAGTCAGGCTCAACTTGCAGTCATCCTGCTGAGGAGAGAAGGACCAGACTTCCTCGCTAAAGATGGTAAGACACACATACGCACACGGACTTGGTGGGCATCTTAAAGAACTGGTCACACGTCGTGCTGCAACAGAACATTTTCCTCCATAAAGGCAATTGATTCAGAAGTCTGTTTATTTTATTCTTGTAAAGCCCTCTTTTTGTACTTCGTCGCGTGTCTGTCGCGCCCCGTCCGAATGGTCGGCCTCTCGCCTCCCCTATAGACGCCTCCGGCCGGTTTCTCTATTACTGTGGGTTTCACGGTGACATGTATGCGAGCGTGTGAGTCTCCATGTCTACCCGGGGAGTGCGGTGAGGCCCCGTCACCCCCCCAGAGTGACGTGTTTACCTCGGGAGGGTCTTCTGGATGGGGTCTCTGGCTGCAGTCACAAGGGAGGCGCTCAGAGGTGTTTTCATTTTGTAGAAAAAAGGCAACAATACAAAATGATGCTGCTTCACAAAATCCCATTATACACTTTTCATATTTTTTTCTTCATTTGTGATATGCCACGTACTGAAACAATGTCTTATACTCCATTTCTGCAGATAAATAGGTCTAATGCTCGATTTCATCTCTTGGAGATGAGGCTAGATAGAACCATGGGAACCATGTTAAGTTTTCTTCACAATACCTAGTTATTCAGCACTCTCCTCTTAAAGGAATTATATTAATTCCGTTCATATAATGATGAATATTTGCTCCCCAGTGTGAAGAGATACCTGTGCACCGAAGTGGTTTTGAATCTATTAGCATACACAAAGTTGTTATGCTTCCTTCTACAAACAGCCTGTGCTAAATGCTTGAGATGGTTCTATCCATAAGCTTCTTCCTGTGAACTGGGTTATGTTCTCTTATTATTTTCAATAAACCTAGTTATTTAACAGCATGTAATCATCCTACTTGTCTTAATGGTGCTGTTTATTGTGTGGTAACATCTGTTCTAATATGCAAAGAATGGAGGATTTGACTGTACGTCTTTATGGCCAAATGTCCAAACATATTTGTAATTACAGAGAACCTGATGGATGAACTGGAGAGAATCTACAGAAGAGCCGGCAGCAGAAAGCTTTGGTCTGATATTCCCACACACATACACGGGTGGCACCCACACAATCTTGTCTCATGTTAACACATTTAATCTGGCTGAACTGTAGGCTGGCAGTACGTCATGCTGCTGCCATTATCAAGAAGTTTGCCAGCTCTATAGCTCCTCATATCACCACAATACTGGTGCATGGGAAACAGGTACTGTCCAGGCAGAGATGGACTGACGACTCGGCATGTTTTCTCCCAGTCAGCAGGCTGGCTAGCTGCCTAACTTGAGAGCTGTGTGATGGTCAGCTAATCCTAAATTAACAAATAACAGCACTTTAGTAAGACGGGAAGAAGGACTTCCAAACGTCAAGATGTGGATTTTTGACATATTTCACAAAGTCTTCCATTTCCCCTCTTTTATTATGTAAATCAGCACAAATTTTGGGGTAAGCTGCTTTGGGCGTATAACTTACTTTTCCTTGCAGGACTGAATTAAACAATAAAAATATATTTAGCATGATACGGTGGCTTCACACAGTAGTGAGTTTGGCCGAGCTAGCCGGCACGTTGACCGCGACGAGTTGAGGATCTTGTCGTCGGTGTTTGCTTCCTTTCCATTCGCCACAGAGGCCGAGCCCTCGTTTGTTCTCCGACGGCCTCATACGCTTCATGCGGCTTGCTGCATACGTCAAATGGAAAAGAGTTAGCCCATTTGTTATGGCCCTGTGAATGCCCCTACACTTCTCTCACTATGGGCATCCATGCTAGATGGAGGAGCTCAAAAACCTCTCACACATTCATGGAGGCAAAGGTTTCGCTGGCTGGTAAAAGTGTTCCTACACAGACCGCAGTGATGCTTTGACTAAACCACATACTCTTGGATTTAGCCAGCGTGTATATTAAGGTTGCTTAAAGACGGTATATTTGTGAATTTGTGTTTACAAGACTGTCCCGACCTCACCTAGAACTGACCACATACTTCTAATGTGCGTCAGTTATTTCTGTGTCCGTGGTTTGATTTGAATTTGTGCCACGGTAACATTCCACTGCCTCACGTTGATTTAGCTGAGGCTTTTATCCAAAGGAACTTACGATAAGTGTATTCAACCTGACCGACAGCAACAGCTTTCATTAGTTGCTGCTTTATGAATGAATAGGAAGTTAGCATAGAGAAATTGGATTATGCCGTACATCCAAAAAGAAAAGCCTGAGGGCTGGATTCCAACTTGCCGGCAAATTCAATCAATAATGAGTTTAATTTACTTTCTCATTTACCTAACATGGGCCAGGAAGTGAAGCTTGAAATAGGTTCCCCAACAAAGCGTCAGAGAATCGACATCACATCATGCTGTCTAAACATCAAGGCTTTGTTGCATTTTTATTCATCGTGCTGCAGAGGTGCAGCAACTAAATAACTCCATAAACACACACCGAAAACAGTTGTGTAGGAGAGTAAAATATAATATAATAATATTGTCGATTTGTATTCAAGACTTCCTTAATGAAATAATTTAATTTCATCATTGCTTCTGTGAGAATGGCTTCAACTGTGTGTGTCTGTCTGTCTGTCTGTCTGTGTTGCCTTTTCCCCTCATAGGATTCCACAGGCAAAGGGGGGCAGTTTGAAGGCTGTGGCGACTCTTGCCATTAAAAAACTGTGAAATTAGTGAACATTAAAATATTTATAAAAAATACTCATTTATTAATAGGGCGGGGGATTTTTACATTAATTATACATACCAGGCCTCAGTCCGTTTTAAATAAGAACATTTTGGTGCCATATTTAAGATTTATTCATTTTAATTGCTGTAGTTTTGATAGTAATCCGATTTGGATTTCAAATTGGGGGCATTTTACCATTATAATAAAAAACATGAAGCATCCAGCACCGGGGGACAAGATCCCTTTTCATCTCGTTAGTGAAATACGTATTTTTGATTATGCCCAATGTTGAAATTCACAAACTATACAGAGAGAATATGTTCTCCTCAGCTTTGTAAAAATGAATAGAAATCCGCATTCTAAACACGTCTTCTAAAGTGTCCATGTTAGATATTGTTCATGATGTCAAGAATGTTCTTGTGTCTTTTCACCCACTAGGTCTGTTGTCCGTCTTGCTGCCAGTCTCTTAACTAAGCTAGTGGACAGCCTTGCCCCCAGTATTACTAGTGTTTTAGTGCATGGCAAGCAGGTAAGTGGACACACAGATCGCAGGCCTCTATAGTTTACCGTAACTATCCCTTCTGTACAAATGATTTGGCGAAAATGGCATGTCTGGACAATGATTTTAATGTTCACTGATTAAAATAAATTGGTAATACGTGACCACGAGCTTCTCCTGCTGTAATCCTGTGGTAGTGGGCCAGATGCATGCTCACTCTCCCCCATCACAGCTCGCCTCCTCTGTGTGTGCGTCCAGTGTGACCGGCGTAGAGCCCTAATCTGACCGAGTCCGCTGGTCTAGACGTACGCCATGTGCCGACTGATGTACTGTGACCCTTCAGACGTGTCTGGTGCCACTCCCTCGCTCTGGTTGAGGCTCAGTGCATTCCTGTCAAGTGTTACTCAGAGATTAGTCTCCTCTCCAGAGAGTCTGTTATCTCTTTTTTACCCTTCCGAACAGTTTTAAGCATTTCATTATACTGAAGTAGCTGGCGGTGTGAATCTGCATATAGATTGCTTACCGGAGGGATCGCTCCTCTCAACATGATTGGAAAAGCTGATTTAAGATTTGAGACGGCTGTGTTCCTCTGGTTACAATAACAGCTCCTTTGTAAGAAATAAGAGGCAGCATCCCATCGAGGTCTGTTCTGACTATTTCTTGTCAATAGTCAAATTAAACAGATGTATTTCCCCCTGGTCATTTCGAAACGTCATTTCCAGGCCGTTCTTTGAACGGTACCGCTTCAAAGCGCTGGGCTTCATCAGCTACAGGGAAGGATAAAAGTGTTTCCTCCCATCCGGATGGTGGTTAGGTGTAATTTTCATGAAACGCCTCAGACGAAACAAAAAGCAGAAGAGTAATCTTTTTTTTTCCCCCACACACATTTTTCTGTGGCTCTCGGAGAGGAGGCCAATTTGAGCGAGATGCAGCAGAGATAATAGTGGGAATTGCACCTTGGAGGAAGTACTGCCTGTGCGAGTGCTGTGGGTGCTCATGATGTTCTACGCATGAACACACAATCGTGCAATATTTTGCACACCGCAGTTCTTCGCCAATGCACAGAACCTCCTAACTGTGGTTTTTCGGTGTTTGCTCCTCTTCCCTGGTTGTGCGCGCGCGTGTGTTATCGCCGATGACTGCTAGGTGACCCTCGGCTTATTCGGGCAAGAGGAAGAGGTGATCTCCAACCCGCTGTCGCCCGGGGTGATCCAGGGCATCATCTACAGCAGGTGCGCCCCTCGAGGTGGAGAGCGGGAGGCCGTGCTGCAGCAGGAGTTGGTCATTCACATCGGATGGATTATCTCCAACAACCCGGAGCTGTTCAGCGGCATGCTCAAGATCAGAGTCGGGTAGGACAAATTCAGCAGAATAAGTTATTAGCGAAACATCAGGAACGCCTTGCTTTAAAATATCTGTGTCAATACATGTGTGGTCCAAAAGATACTCCAAAGCCATGTGGGCTCTGTTCCATCTGCCTCGTCATGCCAGCGTCGGTCACCGAGCTCTTCTTCATCGTTCATCTTGCAGATGGATTGTTCAGGCCATGAAACACGAGCTGAAGATCAGGGGAGGAGACATGCCAGCCCAGGACATCTACCAGCTGTCCCCCAGCGACATCAAGCAGCTCCTGCTGGACGTCCTGCAGCCACAACACACCGGCAGGTACTGGTCATACCCCCCCCTCGCAAAACCGCCTTCGGAGGGCCAACGTTGTGATCTTAATGCATTCCGTTATTTAATCTTTTCAGGTTGCATTTTGTAATCTCCCGTCTTGTCTACATTCACATCTTACTATCTGCTGCTACGGCAACCCAATTTCCAAATGGAATTATTACATCTTTATCTCATTGAATCTAATCTAATACAATTTCCTCTAGAACAACAGCTTTGGACATTATACTTCCTGAGCCTCTATAATCCGGTTCAACACCCCCCCCCCTGCTTTGATCGCAGGTCTTGGCTGAACAAGCGTCAGATAGACGGCTCTCTGAACAGGACCCCGCTGGGCTTTTACGATCGCGTGTGGCAGATCCTGGAGAGGACCCCCAACGGCTTCATGGTGGCTGGGACTCACCTCCCACAGGTACCTGCCGCGATGTGTTAACAGGCAGGTGTAAAGCTCACAGTCATCGATCTCTATGTTTTGGTGTTTTTTAAAGAACATCAAACCATTTCTGTTCCTGCTCACATTTATTGGTTGGTTTAAGTACTGGTGACAGCGTCTGCAGAAATGACTGCAATGGACAAATATGGACCAGATGTGGATGGTGATCCTATGGCATGTCATAATGTTCTCTCTCAGGCAGCGATGGGCGTCAAATAGTTCACTGTGACGCTTTGATCAGGACAAAACGATTAAAGAGATTACTTAAAACAGCGGTGTGGTGACGGTGACCTGCTCATAAACACACACAGTGTATCCACAATCAGCAGCAGTTACAGCGTCCAAGCCGTCTCTCTTTGCAGCAACCGACGCTGTCGGACATGACCATGTATGAGATGAACTTCTCCCTGCTGGTGGAGGACACGCTGAAGAACATCGTCCTGCCCGAGTACAGACAAATCATAGTAGAGGTAAATTCTTTGTGATTACGATTTGAGGTCTAGACCTTTATTCCAACAGCCGTTACAAAAGGGAAACTCCGTTTCTCACGTGTCCTGTTTCCACTGTGTGAGCAGTTGCTGATGGTGGTGTCCGTAGTGTTGGAGAGAAACCCGGAGCTGGAGTTCGATGACGAGGTGGATCTGGACGGCCTGATGAAGGAAGCCTTTAAGGATTTCCAGAAGGACCGTGGAAGCTTGGAAGGCACAGAGAAGCAGGTAGAGTGGCCAACTGATCTTCTCACTTTAATGAGACCGGCTTGTAAAGCACGAGTCATCTCACCACCTTGGCGCAGATAAGTCATAGATTGATTAAATGGTGTTATTTATTTGTGATGATCCTGTCAGGAAGTTCTTTCTTTACTCAAAGCATGTCATTAAATAAATAACTTTCATGAGTACTTTGTTGAAAGCACGTTTCCTCTTTGCCCCCATCAGGGTGACATGGAGGACTTTTACAACACACCAGCGGTGGGAAAGAGAGGCACCTCCAGCTACCTGACCAAGGCAGTTATGATCCTGTTGCTACAAGGGGATTTCAAGCCCTGCAAGGACGACCCGTGCTCTGTTAGCTAGATCCACGATGCTTCGACCATCAGACGGTGTCGTGTCAATAGGGGATGACCTCTAACCTCTGCTATCCTCCCCTGTCCTCTCCTGCATGCTACATCTTTCGTGGACTTTTTCCTCAACAGCAATAAAAGCTGACGGCGGAAGCCTCGGCTGGCATCGGTTTGCACGTCTGCAGTTTGCTCCAGCGGGTAACACACATCCAACGGTCCAGAATACCATCGAAACAAAGGTTGATACTTGGGGAGAAACTGCCAACTCCAACTCCCTCGCTGTTCTTACCCTTTACCTGGATGCCGTAGGTTAGTATATCTGCACTTTGTTCAACAGCTGTGATCAGTAGCACCCAGGCTGCTGCTTAACCGTAACGCTTCTATTTGTTGCTGGAACTCAGTCGCCCAGCTGTTTTATGGATTCAAATGAAGATTTTAATAGTGTTTTAGATGACAACAAGTGGCTCGCTATTTATGTCAAAAGGGCACATACCCACCGGTCTACGGTTACCTGTTACTTTTACCATTTTTCCAATAAGTTACTTTTGCTAAAACCATCAAAATAAAACTAAATGAAGGAAATATTCTGTTGTAGCTTAGCATTAAAACTGAAAGATACATATTTAGCCACAGAACACGAGATCAACCTCCTCCCATTCTCTGTAATGAAATTTATTTGCATATTTTCGGAAGTGACCAACTATTTCTTCTATTTTTGGTTTTGCTCTGAAATTATTTTGTATTTTGATCATAGGGTATTTAATGCCATAATTAACACCTCTCCAGCAATAACTTTCAGCAGTTACACACTAAAAGGTCCCGTCGTATATTGAGAGGTTTGGTTCTCAAATGAATTAGGCATTTGGCTCCCACGGCTCGTAAAAAGAACTCTGGCATTATTCCACACAAGAGCTATCATCAAGAATGCATAAATGTTCAAATGATTGCCCTCCTCTACACAATCTTTGGCATCATACGTTTTGAGAACCATAGTGGTATTTAGATTTTCTAGTGAATTACCGGTGTAATGTTGAGTTTCCTTTTGGATCACTGTGTCTTCTTAGCTCTATGCATGCAGAGTCTGCAGCATGACCACAGGTACTGTTTGCCATAAACATCGTGACGGTTTCTCTGAATGCTAAAAGGAGTTTATTTTATACAACTGGGCTCTGCGTGACTATGACTGGTGCTCATCTGTAGTCCTGAGACTGAGGACCCTGTAGTGAATGTCTTTTGAAACACTGCTGTCATCTTTAGGCAGAAATGATATTAGATTTCTTATTTTAAAGCGTGCCGTCTCTAAATAGCATCACCACCTACCTTCTCACTGTGTTTGTGTGTATTTTTAATTCAATACTGTCGTTTCAAAGAATAAAGTTATCCTGGAAACTATTTACAATCTCTGCTATAAATGTTGTTTGTGAATGTGCAAAAGCATTATGTGGCTTATGCATCTTCCTCTGGAACATCTCCCCTGAGAATATAGAATACAGGCATATAATTGCTTGACATGAAGCAAAGAAATCTTCTTCCTTGACCGAAAAAGCAGCAGAAATGGAGCGTGACTACGGCCATGAGTGGTGTGTTGGCATCGAAATCAGATCCTACCAGTTACACCCACTTATGTTGCCCGGACCCCCTTATCAATCTGCATGTCACCGCTGAGGCTGCGTGTGCTGTCTGCAACACTGACTAGCTGACTGGCAGGGGGGGGGGGTTGAGACTCCGATGAGACGATAAATGAGCTCTGCCTCACTCCCAATGCATTCAAACCAACGTGCATGCCAGTGAGATCTGGCCTGTGTTGCTGAAATAAGTCTTCTTCAGCAAGAAAGAAAGGTTTAGAAGTTCAAGCTACTGAGAAAATTAATATGTGTTCATTTTGGTGGTAGTTTCCACTCACGAGTCCCCTTTAGAAAGCCCTAATTTGTGCATCCTCTTTGTTCTCCTGCCCCCCCCCGAGCAATACGGCTTGGACCTCCAGCAGAAGCTGGATTACGAGCTAAGCGGTTCCTTGTGAACCTGCATCCTTTATATAGTTTTGTTTCAATGAGAGGCATTAACAATTGCTACATGGATAATATAGACGTTGTCAAAAAGATGAAACTGTGAGGACAATGCAGCTTCTAGTTGCTATGGCTACGACAAAAGGGCAGTTATCATGTTTGAAATCTACTTTCGTAGCCAATATTTGTTGATAATTAACTGTCCTTTGTTGATGTAGAATAAATTATTCTTTTTAATGGGTTTGAATAAGCCTTTAACCACAGCCAGCACATATTGCTGCTTCAATTTAGGAAATCATTTGTTTTTGCTCAATTGTCCTCCATCCCCGGATGAATGCAAAACTACAAGTTTTAAATACTTTGCCCCTTTAATGGGGCTCAATGGGGGTTGAATTGGATCATTTTGTAAAATGGACGACAATCTACAATTAGATATGTCAATTTCCCAATTCTTCAAACAATAGCAGAAATGCTCAGAAGCCTGCATTCTGTTTGCCACGATGCAGCTACAGTTCTACTGTCGTCGATGAATGGATGACTCCTTACAGAAATAACCCTTTCTTTGTTTTGCCCATAATCAATAGCCTCACATGGCGGAGTGGTTCTCTGACTAAAGGGCGCTAGGTGAGGGTTTGTCTGGACAATTGGGGAAAAAAAACAGGTGAGAATTGGCAAGAAGCCCAGCTGTTTGGCAGAAAAGAGCAACAAGGAGGGACACAAAGATCAGGGGCCTCAAAGGCCTCCCATGTTCTCTGCCAGGAATATGGAAATTAAATCAGCACCGATTTGATTTATTTTGGGATCTAAATCCTTCAATGGAATGGATGGAGAAGAAAAGCAAAGTTTGCTTTGGCCTCTAGCAAGGGCAATAAGACTTGGATTGAAATGTTATGTTGATGGGTAAAGTAAGTGCAAATGTGGGAAAGCAGTTCTTTCTTTCTTTTTTTTCCGCCACCACACATTTCTCTTTGAAGATAAACAATGACTCGGTATGCATCTCTGTAACGTCTCGTGCTAAAATACAGCAGGACAGCTGAGGCCGTAATCTGGGCGCATAATCCCTTGCAGTTATCTGGGTTTAAGACGTGCCAGACGGCCGGAATGTGGGATCACACGGACGCTCCGCAGGCCGCCTGTTAAAAGGCAAAGTGGTCTTGGTTGTTACGCTGGTGCAGGGACAGGCGGCCAAAGCCCCCTCGTCCTGTGCAGATGTGACCATTCTCTCCTTTCGGGTGGATGGACGGCTGTCTCACAATGTGGAAGCCTGTTTGCGCCACTTGGAAGAGAAAACAAAGGATCCATTTGATGGATTGAGACCACGGATCTTTTTCAGCATGGCCAGCTGGAGAGAAAATACCCGAAAACAGGCGGTTGATTCAGTTTAGTAAACGATATTCAACGACGTACCTCTCCGTTGGGCCCACGGGAACCGGCGGCCATCTTCTTCAAGATCTTAACGCACGAGGTCTTTGGTGGCGACGGCTTTGCATTTGCCGACTTTGCTGAAGGTGCCGGTGACGTTCTGCAGGTCCCTGAGCTGACTGTGCAGAACCGAACTACGCGGTGCAACGATCTCGGACGTGTGTAGGAGAAAAGCACAGAATGTGAAAAAACTTTTGGGCGGGTATCAAGATTTCCAGATCATTTAAATGAGGCATCAAAACGATGAGAAAATTCTGCAACCAATGATCTCCAAGTACATTACTGATACTTGAGTATTTTATATACTCATTGTTCCAGGTCTGTTGCTCCCACACAACGGTACCTTTTTGGTTAAGATCAAGTTTATTTCAGCATTTCGAGTCTCTGAAACCAATTGAGTTATTGATCAAACCAGCTCGATCACAAGGCCTCCAGTTGAGCGCCGGTACGCTCTCACAGGAACGTGGAGGCCCTTCAGCTGACTCTGTTTCTTTATCTTCCTCTGTCTGATCTTACAGCTTTCCTGGCGTTTATTAGAGCAAACGAATCAGTACTTATTTATACTTATTCAGTACTGCAGACTCTGCTGTTTCTAGGTTACAGTTTGCTGAACAAAAGCTTGCTTAGCCAAAAACTGCGTGAACTTCATCACAAAAAAAAGGAGCCGAAGAGTAGACGTGACACATTTCAACGTTCACAGTAGGATCCCGACTCTTCGTGTCTCTCTCTCACCTGTTTGTCTCTAAGCGACATGTTGTTGAGTCTAGTTCTTGCAACTTCCGAGCCCTTGAAGAGTAACGTGCGTCTGCGTCTCCTGTCTGAACACATGATACGGAGACGATCTCTGACTGAGCTCCTCCCTGATGTGCCCGCTGGGTTCTGCTCTTCTATTCTGTCAGTCACAACGATACCTGGATTCCAGAATATTCTAGTGTGATTGTGACAAATTAAAACGTTCCGGTAAAAATCCTCAGGCTGCTTTTTGACAGACAAAACCTGGACAGAAAGAAATTGTCAGGCGCTTAAGGCACTTAAGGCGCTTTGGGAGGTGGGGTTGTATTTCACACTTCACCATTGCCCGTTAAGAAGCAAAATCAATGTAATTAACTCCCTTTGAGTGGATTTAACAGCAAGTATGTAAAAAGCCTTTATTCCTCCCTGAGTTTATGGAATGATCACATCAAATGCTCATTTATCAATAAATTGAACGTTTATTTTAAAAATGTGTGGTATTGGTTAATTTACTAAAAGAAAAAAAATCTATTAAATCATCTAACCTTAAAAGTAAAAAATGTAGAAGTTAGTAGTTCCTATTTGTCATACGCTTGATCGAAAAATGCCGACTTCAAAAAGTCAGAATTTTCATTCTAAACAAATGTTGATAAGATTGTTTTGTCAAAACACCACCCAAGCACAAGGGAACTACACTGCCCTCCTGTGACCGAATAGGAACATTAAAACATTACACGGGTGCATTTGACTCTGCTTTGCAATGAAAATACACCATGATTTAATTTGAATTTTAAAAAATTCTAGACACAACAAAAATAAAACCGAACAAATGTTGGTAAATGCATTGAAAACAAATCTAAAGGTGAACGATGGAAACATAAGGATGAAAAAGATGCATTAAAATGTATTATTTAAAAATTGGTTTTGAAGCCCTATCGTGAGGCCTTCCGGGCCGTCTGTCAGAAGGTAGTCCACTACACGAGGATGAAGGAGGGCCGCAGGTTCACCAGCATGGACATCATCTGTCCAATAGGCCGAAATAATTAGTAAAATCTAGGAGATGATCAATTCAAGATGCAGTAACATTTTGTGGACCCTAACAGGCCTGAAGTGCTGCAAAGAGGGCTACAGCAAACTGACGTCTTTGAGTACGAAAACTAATACTGAATAGAAATCTAACTAGCTGCATAAGGCTTCTTTACAAAAGACTGTTCCATTATCAACACCTTTTCTCTTATGGAAGTTCAGTTACTGATGTGTACTTGCTAGCCAAACGTTTAAAGGGAAACCTGCCCAGTGGTGTCGTAACACCACAGGGGAGTAAATTCAATATATAGTACCAAATGTTTATGCAAAAAAGAATGACCTTTGAATGCTCCGCTCTCTCTGTAGATATCGTTTACAAGTGTACAGAACAATCGTCCCCATGGCTGGAGTAAAAAGAAAGAACGGAACTTCCTTTGTGTATTATTTGACATGCCTCTGGGTTCAAGGATACCAAACGAGTCCCATTAGGCCGAGTGATGGACGGCCCAAGGGGCCTACAGAAAACAAGCTGCTAATGGAGCAGATAATGACCCAGTGAAGCTGTAAAGAGCCGCCTGAGGGCATCAGACGTACATTTTGTCTTGTGGATACTCTTGTGTCCTTCAGCCATGCAGAGGATGTGATCCGTAGAACTCACCCAACTCAGTACATTTAGAGTACAATACAATCAAGTTCACCATGGCCATTGTTGAACTGTGACACGCCAGGGCTTCTTCAATGAGGTACTTTAGTTTGCCAACATTGATCCAAGTCATCAATCCGTTCTTCTTTCCAACTCATCCCGTGTTGACGTTGCAACATATCGCTCTACTTTACCGCACACACACACACACTAAAAATAGATACATCACTCGGTTGTCTGAGGGAAACGGTAAGATAAACATGATTTAACTGACATCAACTTCTCTCACAGGAGAGCCGCCATTTTGACAACCACTGATAAATATGAGGCCCTTTACTCACTGGAGAGCTCACTCAAATATTGACCAAAACATGTTTTTATGAAGTGAATCATCCAAATAAAGTTAGTTAACGTTAGTTTAGGTTGGTAACTTATTGATAAGGACAGAGTGCTGCCTGAACACCTGCCATATTTGTTTTGCATCCATCCAGCGGGTTTCACCCATAGATCATAGTTCACCTCATCTAATTGGACAAGATAATGTCAACTCTGCCTGAGACCACCAACTGATCCCCATTACCTTTCCAACCCCCATTATTCTCATTTTACATTCATCTCTCTCTCTACAATCTCCCACTATGAGGAAAGGAGATACATGTGTGCTAAATATTCAAAATATAGCTCAAACTAATTTTTGTATTACGTCACCACACAGGCCTGTTAGACGTCCAGGAGAACTCCAGGAGATGTCCATGAGATGTCCAGGAGACGTCCAGGAGACGTCCAGGAGAAGTCCATGAGATGTCCAGGAGATGTCCAGGAGAAGTCCATAAGATGTCCAGGAGATGGCGGTAGCGTAACAAGAATGAAGAGGGGGAAGAAGACTCGTAGAGGGAAACAGAGAAGAAGAAGCTTCGATTTGCAAACATAAACAAGCGCAACACAACTTGGGCTTAACAAATATGTCGATTGTCTTTGTGCCAAAGAAACTGCGAGGAAAGGCGAAAATTAACCAAGAAACAATACAGAGGGTAAGACGCCGCTAGAGTGTTTAAAGAAACGGCTAACTAGCAGTTAGCTGTTAGCTTATTCTCCCCGTACATTGAACTATGATGCCATCTGTGGTAGTTAGCCGCTAGCTACTGTTAGCTACTCCTCTAAGGTTAATTTATATTTATTACGTGTTTGTTTACACTGAGTTTGGGGCTGTTCTTTGTGAAGATGGTTGGTGTTGACCTCAGTCACTGTTTGTGTCTTCAGAGCGTAATTAGCCAACTTTAGAATCCACACAATAAGTTATCTTAAGGTTAACTGCTGTGCATTAACTCGTCGCTGTTCTTCTGTCTGTCCCAGTTGCTCGATGAAAACGACCAGTTAGTTCGGTGCATCACTGAATACATGCAGAAAGGACGAGCAGTGGAGTGCGTCCAGTGAGTCACCGCTAATGTGTAACTAGTTATTAGTTATTTTGTACCGCGGTATAAGCCGAGCCTCTGTGCGCTCTCTGCCCTCCATCAGATACCAGCAGATCCTGCACCGGAACATCGTGTATTTGGCCACCATAGCGGACGCCAGCCCGGACAGCGGGGCCCCCGCCACGGACGTAAGGACCAGCCGCGCGGATGAACACTGCGGCAGGCATGGGACTGGAAGTCCTCCGCCGACTCACCGGCTCGTTCCTAATGATCACGTGTTATGTTTCTGTTTCCAGGCCGCATCACACGAGACCTCCGCTCCAACAGCCGCGAGCGCGCCGGCAGCCACGTGACCGCAGCGTCCGCCCGTGTTCACGTCGCGCAAAATGTATCATAAGTATTACTGGTGTCCCAGTTCAATGCCGCATCATATCTGTACTATTTATATAACGCACATGTCTGAATTCAAAATCGAACGTTTACATTAAACACGTGTTCTGTTTTGTGCCTGGTGTGCGTTTCTGAAATCAGTCAGTAGCATGAAACTCAATCAAACTCCCCCCCAAAAATACAACAGCATTTCAAATTGCTAGTTATTTTTATTCGTTTTTTGCATTGCTGGTACACTTGGAAAGTTTCAGTTGCCAGCTCAAGAGAACAATAAGCAACATAAGCCAAGCAGTCCCCCTTCATATCTTCTATCAGGGCAACGTGTTATTTTTTATTTTAAAGAAGCCACTAGTAAACCATTTGACACAGCCGAGAAGAAACAGTTACAGTCCACGGTCTGTAATGATGTCTTTAAAAAAGGCTGCAACAGTTAGGGAGATAACACAGACAAAAAGCAACAAACCCTATATCTTGATTGTGCAAAGCACATTAACTATAAAAAGATATATATTTATATGTATATACAGCAAACAATTCTCTGTAAACATGTTAAGTATGTTAGTTTTCTGAAAACGTGTCATTTCATAAATACAGGCAACATTGGCATCCGCAAACATCACAAAAAGATAACATTCTGAGCTTTTAAATACAGCCCATTGCCATAGAAACCGAAGAAACAAGGGCTCGAAAACACCCTGATCACACAATGTTTTAGTGTTTAGCATGGCATATTTGGTAACCTTTAGATGGTGTCGTTCGGCTCTGTAGGAAAGAAATGTGCTTTTTCACATATTGGGAGGTGGAAAATAATGTTTTATGTAATATGCCTACTAGAATACTAACATACAGTAATGGTATAACATGTAAGAAAATACAAAAATAAGATTAATACTGTCAATTGTACAAGAAAAATATTGTATTAAACAAAACAAAAAAAGGTTTACGGGAGTTAGTGTCAATCTGGAGCAAACAACTGCCAATCAGAGAGGAGGAAATGATTGCGCTTCTGGATGTGAAGACGTTCCCAAATTCTTTCAATGGGGTGTGTAACTTCACCGTCTATCAATAGTCTCACATGACCTCTTATCTCTTCTGCACCATTCATCTTCTGAACAACGCTTTGGTTGGGAATATTCTGCAAGTGCTATCGATACCAACATGGCACATAGTTACTGCTATAATTCAGAACTCTGGTCAGTTGTTGAAAAAGTAGTGTATTTCTCTCAAATTACACCTTTGCAGTGACTTACTATATTTATGCTGAGCCTGCTCAAAGCCTCTTAATAAAAAGAACTAAATATTTATATTTCAACTTCAGTATTTTACAAGCTATGAAACAGTAGATGGTAGCTGTACTCTGATTCATCCTGGGTGAGATTTGGCAGTCACAGCTATGTAGACACAGTATGTTTATTATGGGCACAATGAGAGCATTTCGCCCTTGTACTCCACTCACTCACACTCACACACACGCGTTTAGCTGCAGAAGCAAGTGGGAGGCGGCCGTGCGCGTCCCCGGCTCTCGTCTGAGGAGACGACCACTAGACTAACTGCTGCCAGCGTGACGCATGCACCTGTCGCAGTTAAAACACGGCAGTTTGAAAAACTTCAAAATACGTCTGCTTTTTTTTCTTCCAAATGGGGATGTTTGACATGGAAAAATATAGATACAAAAATGTTGCGCCAGTGTGTATACTTGCCTCTAAGGCTTTGAAATCTTCCAATTCACTGGGTGTGGACTGTAAATGGCTGCAGCTTGGCCCACTCAGTGGCTGATCTGACAGCTACACGCCCCTCGGTGGCACTTCGCCGCCGACTCGGTAGACTAGACTCATCAGTACTGGTGAAGGTAGGAGGGCCTGTGCTCATGTTTAAGGGGGAACGATTTAAAGCCCTTGGTCATGGGTTTGTGTTGCTGCTGCTGCTGCTGTTGTTGTTGTTGTTGTTGCTGCTGCTGGGTGAAAGGAAAACCAGAGGAGATGCCGGCAGAGGGGGAGCAGTCGCTGGCAGTGGACCACACGGGAGACTGCAGCATCTGCATGGAGTCGCTCCACTGAGAGGATGGAGGGATGTTCATCTGGTACAAGGAAGAGCTGGGATTGGGCATGGTGTTGTGGTGGGTGGAGTGCTGCCACGGCGCTTTGGGAGGCCAGGTTTTAGTCTTGCTGTCCTGTTGATTGCAGCACACGGCAATCGGCAAAGATCAGAAAGGTGATTACGGTTCACAGCCATCAACAGGGTTTTTCCATTCCTCGGGAGTTTTTTAAACCAGTTTTCCCCTTTGGTTGTCTCACGGGTGTTTTGAAATGTACAATTTTTTTTGATTTTCCCTTTCCAGAAAAACATATTTTAAAAAATGGGTTTTCCTGGGAGTAGTTTGAAAATGGGCCCACGGGCCCTCCACACCCTGTGGGGGGGTGGGGGGGGGGGCTCACACTTTACCTGGTTATCATCGATGATGTGATGGAGTGGTGGTGAGGGCAGGGTGCACACCTCCGGCTCGCCACAGCTGTGTTTTCTGAGAACAGACATTCAGACTGAGCCTCACGTGCTACACAGTATTTGTTGGAGCTGCAAGTCATTTAATTTTTTTTTTTTATAGAAGTGAAATATCAACCCAAGAAAATTCAGTTCACCCCATTGTGTCATATTTATCAAAACTGACAAGACAGAACTAATTCCGGGGATGATGATGATGATGATGAGTTGGGGATTTACCTCCTTTGTTTAACCGCTGCTACAAGATCCGGACCCGAAAACATGGAGAACAGGCTGTCACCGTTGGCTGAAGACGTCTCATCGCTGGAGCTGGCCGAGTCCCCCTGATTGGCTGTCCAGCTGCTGTTCACGGCCTCCCTGAGGACAAAACCAGGCGAGGTGTTACCGCCAACAATGTGCTATCAGAAGGCATGCAACAGTTCAGATGTATTTCTCGATGTCTTCACTCCTCGATTAGACAGAAATTGGGACGTCTTTGCATCTTGGTGATTTGTAGGGTTGGGAGACATCACCCCGTCGCTACATATCATAAAGCAGGTTCTACAGCAGCTCTCGTTCCTCACTGTATTGAAGTGGAAATCATTTTCATAACTGCATCACTCATGCATTGGGTTGACGAGCAGGATGCCACTGCAGTATTGGCTCCCTGATTAAATCTTCCTACTTACTGAGATGAATATCTAATCAGGCTGCTGCTAACACCGCAACATGGTAAATGCCTCACATAGTGATGATGTCTGCCACATCAATACTTTAATCAGGACATTGCTCAAGACTTTTGTGCACTTGATGAAACTACGCTTTAAATAACTAACACTGCAGCCAAAAACAAATGTGTAAACATCGGTTCATGTCTCCGTGTCCCGCTTGTTTATCGTATTTTGACGTCAGATTTGTAAAAGTAAGATTGCTGCACACATCCCCCACTGGGCACTGCTATGTCTGATGCTATTTACTGACATGACCTCCGGACAATGTTCAGACTGCTCCCACGTTGCCCTTTCACACATTTAGCATCCAACAGGAGAATTCTGTCCGACACGTTTACCTCTGTTAGTCAAAGGCGAGACGTGGCGTCTGGGTATAGCACGCAAGGGGAGGAGTCATATAGACCAAGTCTTTGGGTCATCAAAGGTCTTGCCTTTAAATTGATCAGCTTAACCATTTCGAAGCCAGACCCCACCGAAACAGTAGTTGCCGAATCGCGTCGGCGGTCCAGTTAAACATTCTCATCGGCGTCTTTGGGCAAAGTCACTTTGACTAAATCCGATCTGGCTTTAAATCTACACTGAACATTTGTTGTTGTTGCTCTGTAAAGCATTGAATCAGTGATTAGACGAGTGCGGATACCTACCCCTCACTGTAGTACTCTGGGTGGGACCAGGTCCTGTGCTGCTTCTTCAGGCATTGGCCAGTTGCTGCGCGTGTTGCTAGGGCGACGGATGTGCTGCACCTGCCGTTTCTGCTGCATGGCCTGGCTGACGCCGGCGACGTAGCGCGCAAACTCCGGGTCGGAGCCGACTGCTTATGGAAAGGATAAACACAGCTATGAGGCTTTCCTCTTTCGCTGCCCGGAGCTCATTCCGATTAGCCAGACTGTCGACCGTAGCAGAAAATCACAATAGCCGTAAGTCAACTGTGCACAATGGGCCTCGGTGGCAGTCAAAAGAGTCTGCTGCACTGTAAGAAATAGCAACTGACACGGGCTAAACTCCGCGTTAATGGTCAACTTGTAGTGGAAAACAGCTGCTCACACTATCTGACCAACATTGATTATGTTACTCAAATCAGGGTCCAACGTGGTCTGTGATCTGGGGAATTGTTACAAGATACTATTTAAATAGAATCAAATATATTACTTCTCATTTGCCACATGACAGTTGCTGCGTAGTGAGTGAACATACCTTTTTACAAGATGTCTGCCGTACTTAGTGCACTGAATGAAGCCAAAATAAACAAACGGTATTTCCACACGGCCTGGACTTGACAAACTTGTGTAAATTGATTATTTCCCCTCAATGTCGTCTTCATTTCACTGCTTTCCCTTAATAGAATTATTTTGCTTTTTTCTACGATAATAATCTGTAGTCATCTGTTGCCTGCAGACAAATGCATTTTGAATTGATATGCATACAAAACTTCAGCGATCTTAACGGTTTCAACTAGATAGTCTGGACACTCGGGGTAACGCATCAGACCGCGTTGTGAACCGTAGTCTCTTGGATTACTGCAGAAATAAGTAAATAAGCTATAAAGGACATTGCTGCGCTGCTTCTCTGGTTATTTATTTTTAAATAATGAAGATACTTTGTCAGCTGCCTCCCCTCACACTGCTGACATGAGAAGCATGGAAGGTTGAGACCAACACTTCTATTTGCAGAGAGGTGACGCGCCAAAACGTTATAATATAGTGTTGGAAGGCTTTAAATATTTCTTAATTTACTGACTATGTTTAAGTTTTCTGCACCTTTCACTGAGAAATACACACAATAACATTTCATCTTTCTGCTTTCCTGATTTTTGCTTCTTCTTCATCCAGCAGTTGAAATAGATACAAATAAACACTCCGATTTGGGCCTGAAAAGGTAGATTGGCATAGAAAAAGGGACCTCACCTGCAGGGTCAAAGGGCAGCGTGTCTCCCAGGACTCCAAAACCTCCTTCACTCTGGTCCCTGTTGGGCCAAGTGTTGTTACGGGGCCCCTGTGGCTTCTGACCCAGCATCTCTGACATGACACTGTCCATGTAGGTGCTGACCAGGCCCAGACTGTACAGATCTGAGCTCAGATCCGGCAGTCCAGGAGAGCCCCACTGACCGATTGGGCCCAGGGGGGACAGCCCTGCTGGGGGACCTTGCGGTGCGGACTGTTGCCCGGAGCTGACAAGCCACTTGCTTGCCACTCTTTGCTGTGACAGGACCTGCGGTGGGGTCTGCTGAGGAGGAAGTTGAGGAGGAGGCTGCTGCTGACTGATGGGCTGCAGGAGGTGCTGGTAGTACTGCAGGGCCTGGGGGGAGGGCTGTTGAGGTGGAGGAGCAGGCTGCTGCTGCTGCTGCTGCTGCTGTTGTTGTTGTTGTTGTTGTTGCTGCTGCTGCTGCTGCGGAGGTGGCTGTGGTTGAGGCTGCTGTTTCTGCACTGATGACGGAGGCTGGGACAGGGTCTGAGCTTGGGGCTGCAGGGCGCTGTGTGAGACAGATTGGGAAGTTGGCGGCGGCCCACTCGGCGGCTTCAGCTCAGCGGGGTTCGCAGACGCCACAGAGTTCCTCCTTTTGACCAGAGGCGAGGCCTGCTGGGATTTCCCCATGTTGAATCCTGAGAGAAAGTCGATGACGTCCTGCATCTCCTGGTCAGTTGGCAAGTTCATCCCCTGGTCGTCGGACACTAAACCGTTGGCCAGCTGGCTTTGCGGGGAGGAGTCGGACAGGCTGCTCATCTGCAGGAGGCTCTGTAGCCTCCCGTCACTGTGGCCCAGGCTCTTGGTCTTCTCCTCGGAGCTACCGGTTGACAGCCTGCTGCGAGACGGGGTGCTCGGGATGGAGTAGCTGCCCCCGCTATTGGAGCTGGATGAGACCTTCTTTGCGAACTTGGAAGTCAGCTTGGATATTGTTTTGGGCAAACCGCTGGAGGTCTTTGAGCCGGCGCCTGGAGGCAGGTCGGCCCGGCCGCCATAATCAGGGATTTCCCGCTGCAGCTGCATCTGAATCGTGGGCAGGGCTTGTTCTCTTTTGGAGGGAAGAGGAAAAACAAGTACTTTGTTATTCAGTATTAAAAGCACTACAGTAATATGAGATATGCAACCGGGCACCAGGTCTCCTTTTAACTGAACCAAACAGGTTAAGAGGGGAATCCCCCTAATCCGTATCATCTGTTGAGATTTCACTTGAACAGAAATCCACATGGTAAAGCTACACGTTGGTAATCGAACAGGTCATTTGTAATTACAGCACCTAACGTTGACTCACTTTCTCTCCTTCCACTTGTTGATGTCAAACACTGCAGTGTACAGCACGTCCACCAGGCCGAGTGTCTTCTCCGGATCTAAGCTCCGCTGGAGCAAGGACATAGTGGCTGGGTCCTCCTTCAGACACCTGAACATGTGTGTGTACACACACACACACACACACACACACACACACACACACACACACACACACACACACACACACACACACACACACACACACACACACACACACACACACACACACACACACACACACACACACACACCATGATGAGACAGGAACTAAAAATCCACACGATGTCATACAAAAGCCCAGGTGCATTTGCTAAAAAGATGAAAACTTGACATTCATAAACAAGAAAAGAGCCTCTTTCAGCTTGCAGACTGGTTTATTGTATTCATGCTGGCCAGTGAACCAAGGAGTCCACATTCAAATCTTCTGCTTAAAGACGGGACAATTCCACAGTACAGCAGCCTAATGATATACTGCTGAAGTAGGGTTAATCCCAATGTGTTGACACAGGTATTACAAAAAGGGTTGTGTACTCTGCGTATTAAGTCCAGCTTATCAAACATTCTCCATTCCTCTGTAGATCTTGGCAGTGTTCGCGCTCACCTCCCATCTCTGTCTGCATGCATATGCTTTACATATGTAACTTGTCAGTTCACTTTGCTACGTCTCAACTACCTCGTGATGCAACTGTACCTGCATCAAAACACAATTTGTGTTCATACATTTAGAATGAGCTGATTATTTGGAAGAAAGGTCCACACAAAGGAGTTTCACAGTAAGTGGTTTAATGAACTTACCATGTAGAGGGAACCTGCACCACCACTTTGGAACCGTCAAGAGTGATCTGGGGAGCATAGGCCTCCTTGTTCTCAATCTGAGCAGTATCAACAACAACCTGTTGGCACATACACACACACACACACACAAAACGCACCAGCATCAGCATCTCCTGATAGAAAAGCTTTATTCATTGGCATCTGTAACCTTGTTGTGAGTCCTGCTTGTGCAAGCAATACTGTGTGCCGACTAATAATAAAAACAACTAAAACTATTGGAGCATCACACATTTTCCACCAAGCAGAGGGACAGATCTGGGCCCTGTTCCGCGTACGTGGCTAACTGAGTTAGCCGGATAATTTTCAGGATGAGAGGACGTAGATCAGGCTTTTTGGTTCCACGAAGCAGGTTTGTCTAAATCACCATAGCAACACATCGAAAAACTTGAACCTGCTCCGACGCATGTTCATTTGAGCTGCTGGATTAGTTCATCACTCCCCCGGGAAAAAAAAGGCAGCTCACCTCCTCATTGATGAAGGAGCGATATCAGTTAGATTAACGTTGAATAGGGAGAGACTCAGAGATCACAAAGACCTGTTTAGCCGCGACGACGTCCTGTACGAGCGCGAGATGCTGAGGACAAGGAATCATTTATTTACAAGATTTTCACTTTACGTTGCATGATGAACACCAAACGCTGCAGCCGAACCTCCACTGTCCCGCAGACTGTCTCACATACTGTCCCGTCTGTACGGTGTTGCGATGCAGAGAACATCTGGAAAGCCGCTGCATGTCGTGCTCTTGGTAAAGTTCTGTTGGTTTATTTGTCGCTTAATAAACTTCTGAATGTTCCACATTTTTTAGGGTACATAACCTGATACAGTACATAAATCCTATTCATTTGTATCAATTAGATTCTTTGGGCTTGTTTTCATATACATACTCTGAAAGAGTTGAGATCATTATTAATTATATTAATTATATGATTAATTTAATTTTATATCGCAAATTCGCCTCAATGGTCTTTACAGTCTGTACACATGAGAGGGTGTGTTCATGATCACCTCCTGCTCGTCAGCGGAGAAAAAAGCCGCTCAAAAGTTTATTTGCAATTATACGGCTGTTAAAAAATCCTGGTTTCGGCGATCGACTCTTCCGCCTTCTGACGTAAGACGATTATCCTGATGATTGACATCTGGTTCAAACTAACGAGACTATTTGAGCGCCGATCCACCTTCAAGGAACCGAGATCACCGGATGTCAATCATCTCGGTAATTTGAGCTGGATAATCGGACATTTGATCAACTTAGTTGAACCACGTACGAGGAACAGGGCCCATGTCTTTAGTCTCCCAGTAACGACAAAGTGGCTCCTCGATAGCTACTAAGCTGGGTCGCAAAGAGGGAGGGGTCCATTTCCTGTATTGCAGGAAGTCAACCTTCTGTTTTGAAAAAAAGCAGGTGTATCCTTGGAAACCCCGGCCGAGTGAGAGGGCCGAGTGTACACACACACACACACAGACACACACAAACAGTGTGTCAGCCATGCCCAACACAAAATGACACGGTCATTGGGGGCAAGAGGGAGGAGGAAGCATGCAGACAAACAGAGGAGGTCAGCTACTGCGTTTGGCTCAATGACTAGTAGGAAAAAGGGAGTCGCTAGTGAATAAAGCTGCCAGAAACAACAGCAGATATATACGGTCATTCTTATTATTACTGTGACTGTAAAAGGAGAAAACACGGAGGAGAAAGACCAAGTGTGGGGAGGTATGACTACGACGAGAATGTGCATGGACAGCGAGATGCTGCTCGCCAGCAACTTGCATCCCAAGCAGGAATGCTGGGGGAGCGGCGCTGAGGTGCTTCTGCTCCCGGTCCCCGCCTCAACTCGCTGCCATTCACAGGGCCGAAGGTCAGCAGCATAGCTCATCAAAACGCCACACCCGTTACACTTTGGCCGGCTGTGCCCTTCACACAGTTGACTCAGCTCTGTGCTGCATCTCGGTCACCTTTCATACAGAACGGCAAAGTGGAACAAACGGTGCAGCGGTCCGTCTTGAAATGGGAAAAGGGGCCTATGTGCGAGCGGGTGTGTCCTTTTACGGTGCTGTGTGAACTACTTTGTGCTTAGTGGCTGCAGGATCAGATAAAGAAATAATGCAAAACCCTCATCCACCACGCGGGGTTTGTTTTCCAGTTAGCACGGGGCTGACGGGGCTGGATGGGCCACTCCCTCAGCCCGGCACACGAAAACAGGGCAGACCACACAGAGGAAATAAATACCGCAGCATAAACACACGGGTGTTACTCGGAGGGGAGTCCTGCTACTGACCCTCCCTCCCCGGGACACGCCTTTCCTTCAGGAGGGGGAGGACTCAGTTTGCAAACCGGCCCGGGGGAGCCCATCCAGATTCACCCAGATGCTGCAGGAATGTTTCTTCTCTTTGTGTGTCTCTGGTGTTTGTTTACACTTCGCTGCTGCCTCCGAGCAAGCAGACAGGTCTCCTCATCTCCATTACCACTCCGACAAACAATGAGATGCAGGCGGCCAAAACCCGCGGACGCACCAAGTACAACAGGCCTGTTTGAGTCACCGTATAGTAACAGCTACACTCTTGTGATCGAGCAAAATACTAAGTGAGGATCCAATAGGGATCTTTCTTCACAGATGGTTATTTAAGTACGACTTACTTCAACACAAAACTGCTCTTTTGCGAGACGAGAAGATGAAAAGACAATTACTGTTTGCCCACTGCTACTTTACAAGGTGTTGGGATCCATTTACGGAATAATTAAGGAACAATTAAGGTGACCAGAGTTGTTTTCCATCTCTACTCACCAGACCAGCCTGGGCAAACAGCAGCTGGACCGCGGTCTTGCAGGCTCCTCTCCAGCTGGACGGGCAGACTTGGTTGAGGACCTCAGTGACGGGAGAATCGTCTCTGGGGGTCACTCCGTTCTGGCCCAGCGCCTCCTTAATGAGCTGCAGCATGGTGTGCTGAGGAGACAAAACACACTGGGCCATCAGCAAAGCAGTACGCCATCACTGTGTAATGATGTTACTAAAAAAAAAAAAAAAAAAAGGGGGGGGGCGAGCTTTTGCTACATCACAAATCTGCTGAGGTAATTTCTTTAATCACAGTAATGCTTTTGGGAGCAAGGAAGACTTCTTTTTTTAACTGCTATGGAAACTTTACCGTTTTCAGTTTGAGGTTTTCAGCCGCTGACTCGTTGAAGGACACTCCTTTGAGGAAATGTGAGCCGATCTGGACAGGGATGGTGGGCAGCTCGCACTGGATGGGCTGGGAGGTGGTCTGCATCCTGCCCGCCTGCTGGGCCTCCGCCTCACTGCAGCAGCTCTACACACACACAACACAGATGTCACATTTTTAAGAAGCAATAAATGTTACATTGCATAATTTAAGTATCCTTCCCTAATTCCAAACAGCATTTTTGCTGACTTTCTGAGAGTGAACCCACCTGCAAGGCGGCCTCCACAGCTTTGGGGTTAAGATGAAAGCCGGCCTTCAGTGCGTACTCACTGTGGCCGAGGCTCTCTAGTGCTGCTTTGTATGCCTAGAGATTGAGAGAAAACACTATTGAATATATAATACAAATAATGTAATGTTAATGCACTTTTTTATTAATGAATCCATGTAGTTTCACCCTGTTTATTAAATCAAAATGATACTTTCACCAGATACATAAACAATAAATAAAAGCAGAAGCGTATGTCTACTTTATTCTTAAAATATCAATCTACAAACCACTGGAACAACAGTAACGGCCGTTCCCGCTCTGGTCTCTGGGCCCATACGCACCTGTAAAGAATTGTCTATCTTCATGTTGAGCTCCTTCAGCTGGTGGTCAGGGATGGTGGGGTTGTTGGAGCAGAAGAGCTGCTGAACCTGGATGCCTGCCAGGCAGCCGTCCCGGCCCCTCTCTCTCAGCCTCGCCATGGCCTGAGGGCACAGCAGAGAGCAGAATGGAAGCCGGTACACTAATGCAGCACCATTTCACAGAGAAATGCAAGACGTACTTGACGATGATGCGCTGCGAAAGTCTGGTGGCCAGCATTTTTGAAAGAACAATGAAAAAGGTACATGTTTTGGGAATTTCTCGCATAAATAATTGAGCTACCCATTTCTGGATGATAAAAAGCATGTGTGCAGCTTCTGAAAAAGAGCCCCAGCCACCCTTCTCTGCCGAAACGCCCAACCAGCACATTCTACTCGGGACTATCCGGGCCCGGCCCCCTCCAGGGCTTACAATCTGCACGCCAGGGCTTAACAGATCAATCAACGCACTATTCTCCTCTCTGCCTCACTTTATACAACAAAGCTCAAAATGGGCCAGAGGGAGTCATTAGGCTGAGGATTAGTTGGGTCCTGTTACAAAATAGCCTTTCTCACATGGGTTGGGTTGTGTGGAAGGGTTCAGAACATAACATAGCAGGGTCACAGACAAACTGTAAATCAAGTAAATTTAGCCTGGAAATCATTAACGGCTCGCATTTCTCAGGAATGTTTCACCTCACAAAAAGACAAACCCCGTATCTCCAAGGCCCCAACGAAGAGGCGCCCTGTGGCTGCATACCTGAGCTGCACCTTTCCATGAGCGGGAGGCTTCCTCCAGCTCAGTGAGGCAGCCGAGGTCAGAGCTCTGGGAGCGGGCGTTGGCGCAGCGCTCCTGGGCCTGGGCAAGAGCCTCGGCCAGGCAGGACTGGGCCACGGGCTGGACCTTCTGCAGAGCCTGCGACAGAAACTGGAAATGGACCTGCATCACCGTGAGGAAGCACCGACCCAGCACCTGCAAACGGACGAGGGAGATTTAAGGTCACAGCATCCATCATTAACATGCTGGCGTAACCAAGTCAGAATGTTGAAGAATGCCTGCAGGCTCAGAAACTGACGTGTGAGTCTACATACCGGTGTGGTTAGTTAACACCAACACAATACGGCGTCCTAATTCCTCAAAATAATGACTGGCTGCCTCACCAGCCAATTAACCCGCGGCTACGACATTCTGTATCTTTGCAGAACCACCAAAAGGACTCACGGTCTACGAAACCAAGAAGAAGACAACACTCCAACCCTACTTGGAGCTTGTTATTATTTCCACGCCTTGCGAGCAGAAGACATTGAGCTTGGCAGGAAAAGTGCAGCCGTTTATGCTTAGTTCTGCACACGTGTAAGAACAAACATTAAAGACTGCTTTATGTTAACACAATGTGGTTTAAGTTTGGCCTTTCCCTTGGAGTCATGCGCAGCATATTACTACTTTTTACAACAGTACATTTTCATAAAACTAAAAGGTTTGACATTTTGTGTTTACCACCAGATCACATGAACGATATCAGCAGCTCGTCTTCAGGCTACTCCTTAAAACGATGACAAAACACATTTTCAAAATAAGATTGTGGCAATCAACGCAATGTTAGTTTATCCAACAGCATCTCGTCTCATCTTCAACCTCCTATCCGGGTCGGGTTGCGGGGGCCAGCAGGGGACCCCAAACGTCCCTTTTCCCCCTCCCACATGTACCAGCTCTGGCTGGGGGATGCCTCCACCTAATCCTAGTCCTAGAACATTTGTCCACCATGCTCTTTACCACAGCTACCACAACACCTTCCTAAATAAAACTTCTTGCCAGGGCAGCTTTCAGGCAACGATGAGTATGCTAAAAACAGACACCAAACATCTGGCCGGTGCAATGTGTCTGCATCTGAAAGCAAAGGTCTACTCCCGTTTAGTAACATCACATGTTTCAGGGCGTCATACATCACTCCACACGACGTGTGCGTGCCTTTGTTTGGGGAGAGAATATCTCAAGCTTAGAGGCGGTTTGTTGTTCAGCTCACAAAATAAGAGAAACGGGACACCGCGCGGTCCTCAGCGGTCACAGCGTTTCCTTTTTCAGGTACCGGCTGAAAATATCTCAAGGGGGAGGCTGAGTTGTAAAGACAGAAATATGCTGCTGGCAGACAGGATCAACAGGACGCTCTCGTTCTCCTGCACAGAAACCAAAACTTAACTGCTTAAATGCCTGAAAGGCTAAACAATTGTTTTCAAAAGAAAAGAATTCATCGTCCTTTTTGGAATAAGATAACCAGTCCTCGGAGCTGTGGAGTCAGTGGCCTTATTATAGGAGGTTATTCGGATAACATGCTCAACTCTTTCCCTTGTCTTATTTATTTGGTTTAATTCTCATTGTATCATTAGAACAATGCACTCTGAGGGATCCAAAACACCAGAAACGGGCCCAAAACAGGTGCATTATTGTCCACTTGTTGTGTATCATCATCACCAACGTTGCTGTACTCATGGAATTATGTGGCTGTTCGGTCTATTCACTGTTTTAGCAAACAAGGGGTTTGGCAAAACAATGGAATACTGAAATAACAGCGTGATGCTGAGGCTGCTTAATGTAATTTACACATATTAAATAAACCACATATTGGACAAAGATAAACGTTGCGCTAAAGACGGGGCCAAGGGGTTACGTTTTAAGAGGTCCTCCTGAGACCACCAATGTCCGGACCAAATGACACTTCCATCAATCCACAAGTAAGATACGGTAAGACACACTTAAAAAAAAAAAAAAGAGTCACCTTGCTGGTTGTGCACACCAAGCGTAAGTGGATCACAATGTCAGCAGGATCCGTCCTCTAGAGACAATGGATGTCGGTACAAAATTGCAAACCAGGTAATAGTTTGAGAGATTTTAGACGGGACCACAGAGGGGAACTGACACCAACCACATGGACGCAACTAGCGATGAGCTGCTAAGCAATGAAAACAACGTTTGTAAACTGCAAGTCTTTGTCCCTGAAGCTCAGACCCACGGTAGCGTGTGTAGAGTCAGGACCATGTGATGCTTCGCCCTCACGGCGGGGACCCTGGGAGGCCTGATAAACACAGGCTCAGATCCAGGGGGCACAAGATGGGAAATTCCTGCCCCCCGCTGTTGACGTCGACGCGACGAATCACAACTCAACGGGGATTTGGTGTGCACGCCAAGCGGACAAACAACCGCGGACACACAGCATGATAATGATGCAGGGACACAACACATAGAGCCAAATAAAGCAAACTTCTATCGTCTGCAGAGTTTCCTACGGATCAGAGCCCAAGCTTACATTGAGATCAATGACCGTTAAAAGGTCGTCAACAACAAGCGAGGGGAAAGAAATAAAGGCCATGGCTGCAGCACGAGATAATGGAGAACACATGCGATCGGCTACGCTGCACACAGTCATGGAAAATATGAGAAGAAACTGTAGAGCCGAGCCAAGCAGACGTTGGGCCCCTTTTAGGCCCAAACAAGGCGAATCGTGAATCAATCAACATTTACACTTCTATTTTCTGAGAAGACGTTCGATAAAAATGCAGTGAATGCAGGAGCGTGGTGTTCCTGAGACCTAGACCTCTGAGAGAAAGGGAGTGGGATGTTGTTATAATAACCAGATGGTCAAGCTGTTCCACTGATACGTGGAAATAAACAAGGAGCATACCTTCGTTGATTGATGGCAATGGTAATCTTTGTGTAAAAGAAAAGATCCAGAGGAAAGGTCACAATGTCATGACCTCTGAATGTCTTACAGCTGATCACTTCCATATAATGGTTCTCTCCAATGTGTGCTGCAAAGTATTCCTAGATTTAACCTCAGCTAGTTTTGCTGAGGTTAGTTCTTTCAAACCCGGTCGGTAAGTATTGTATTGTTGAACCAACCTGTGAGCAGCGGCTACATTTCATTTAAAGTTCACACGTGAGAAGTCACTTTAAAAAGCAACATGTGCAATTTCTGAAACAGGCGTTTGTGTCGTCGGTCTTTAGTTGACACGTCGAGAAGTTAAAATATAACTGGTGTTGGCTGACGCTTTGAGTCCTTTCCTCTCTAGCTTTGTGTTTGAACAACACACAAGATGTACGTAATCCTGCAAAGCGCTTCTTAACAGCTGCGGCGCAGGGCCTTGTTTTCCCAGCGTTCACTGCGGTTGGCTGGAAGGTGTCTCTGGCTGTGGGGACCTCGCTGTCTGCCTCTGGTCTTCGCGCTGTGGTTTCAACTTACAAGCGCGGCAAGCGGCCTCCAAACAAACCGTGACATTTTCCTGCACATTTGGCAGTGGAGTCACTCCGAGTCGGATTTGGGGGGAAAAAAAAGAGGCGGTCTGTTTTGCAGTCTGCACTGACCTTAACTTTTGGGGGCTCTTTGTTAAAAAGGAAAAAAAAGGGAGGGGGGATGGGGGGGTAAAAGAAAGAAAGAGGAGATGGAGATGTGAGCTGGAGGGGGGGGTTGCATACCACAACTCCCCGAACACCGAAACGCATTTGGCCCTTTCTGAAGACCTCATAATACGTCCAGCTGCCAAACAGCATTCCTCGACTCACGCAGACAAAAGAAAAGCCCGTTTACAGGCACAGATGCGCCACATTGTGAAGAACTGGATGAAGACGCTGCACATATTCTGATAAGATAGGTGAGCAGTTTAATCTGTACGTACACATGAATAACCTCTACCAGAACAAAAGCTAATAGTGCCGATATTTAGCCATAAGCTCAAACAAACCGCGGAGATTCAGATTCAGTGTCGGATGCAACCACAGGTGAGCGTGAACACAAGTTTGATAGCTTCAACCAACAGTTTTCCAAATTCTATTTTTGATTCCTCCGCCACCTTATTTTACTCTTCACTTGTCAAAAACTGTAGACGCAGCCGAACGCAAACACTGTGCGATTTAACCTCATTGTTGTTCACATGGCTCATCCAATTTCACTATGATATTATTGTGTACCTGCCGTGTTTTCTCAGAGGTTAACACAACCAACCAACTCAAGAAGCCCACTGGAAAGTTTGAATACGTTTCCTTCTCTGCTTTAACAAACGTACCCTTCATGCCCGGGGCAGGACGGCCGGTGTGGCGGCCAATCCGTGAGGTTTAAACTTTTACAGACTTGGGCTTCCTCTAATATTCATTTGTGCTTGACCGAGACCACAGAGAGACAGGTTTACTGACTGCGGTGGAAAAGGGGTTTCCTGTTTTGGGCTCAGTCACATCCACTGAGCTCCTGCAGCCCCTCCGCTGGTCACGGCCATGAACCCGCCTCCTGCTGACGCAGATTACGGGAACACACATAACTCCCGTTGCAGAACGTTGACGCGTCGTCACAGGTGACACCGGATCAGATATCCTGCGGGATTTGTTCTTTGTCTTGAGTCTTAAATTGCTTTCACAACTCAAGTGGGAAATGCAAAGATCAACATGTGAAAGGAATAAAAAAAATGCTTGTGGAAAACTATTTGGAATGTCACCAGGTGAGTGAAATCGAGAGGTCTGAATGGAAGCAATCAAGCAACTTTGAGGTGAGATTATGGTTAAGATTTCATGCCAAAGAAGAGAAGAAGAGAAGTTTGATGTTAAAATGTGTGTGTAGCTTTGGTTCAGGTGACACATGTAAATGGTAATACTTATTGAACAAATCTCCTGTGGAGTGAAATAGTTTTATGTATAATATGCAGCAAAGAGGCCTAGTTGTCATCTGTGAATTTGTATCTGTGCTTTTGAGACTCTCTCCTATTAGTCATTAATTAATTAGATTATCCCGGAAACTCAAGTCCCATTGTGATGCCACTCGATTGGTTGGAAACGTCTCTGCTGCTAAAAGTAAACGGTTGAGGATGAGGGGCGAGCTGCGCGGGCTCACACCGGTTCATTAAAAGGAAGATAAATGAGCAGATGCATGATGCAGATCATGAGGACGGATGGCGTTCAGGCTGGGGTGTGGCGTACAGCTGAAAATACAGCTACTTGATACTGATGGAGCCACATGAGAGATTGTCTCATTAATTCACGATAATGCTTTCTCAAAAGCAACCGCCGTAAAACAGCATGTCTTCTCTTTTTTTTTTTTTTTAAATCATTCTGTCAGAATCTTTTGCAGGTGCAGATTTCAGACTGATGGCGTGACCTGAAATGAACCAATGTCAAGACTTCTGACTTCATCAACCCGAATCTTCCAACCTGGCCTCATGAGTCTCCTGACCGGGGTTTAAAGTGCGTTTGACACATGCCTAGATTTAGGCAGGAATTCTGTAGCAACTGAAGGATTACTACCCTGCCATTATCGTTAAGGCCTTCTAGTTCCCTCGGCGATAAAGGTCTGCTCTCCTTAATAATGATCAAGATTAACTCAGTTGAGCAAATGTATTTATGCAAGATGTAACAGAGCAGATACAGACCCAGATCATGTGTAAACGGCAACAAGAGCAGATTAGTCTGTAATTAACGGGGGGACAGAGGTGTGTGTGTGTGTGTGTGTGTGTGTGTGTGTGAGAAAGATAAAACACTCTTGATTAATCAGTTGCCACAAAAGGCAAATTAAACAAAAACAAACTGACAGAGAAAAGGGAGAGAAACGGAATTTGAGGCAGGAAAAGAAATATATATCCAGATCACAGCTGAGCCTTTTGGTTATTCAGTGCATCTGTCTCCATATCCTCACAAAATTAAATAAATAACACCTCAGCTACGACGTCTCACCTTCTCCACGTCAGCAGATTCAGTGCTGTGGAAAGGCGGCGGGGAGTTCGCTGTGACAAACGAGGACTTTTCTTCTCACATCCTCAGTGATTTTCACACTTCACCTTCAGATGCTGACACAGGCTTAACGCTGGGTATGACAAGCTTATTTGAGCCAGGAAACACTGATTCACAGGGCCTCCTGACACCTGAGCACCACCGCTGGACGACCACTCACGGATAATGGAATATGAAAACGTATTTGCTGCTCAACTTGCACGGGCTACGGTTGTGCCGCTTAATTAATTCACTCCGGCGGCGGAGACAATGGACTTGAACCATTGAACAGAGTCACTTTACTTAAGTCAACGATCGTTGATGTCACTTAGAATGACATCAACGAGGTCCAGTGTGATCACCCACCTCGACATCCTGCAGGCTGAAGTCGTTCTGGTCTTTGAAGTTGGCGGCCCCGGCGCTCAGCTCCATCAGCATCTTGGCGATTTCAGGCTTTATTGCTGCAGTCAGCCTGCTGGCCGCCTCCATGACGTGTTCCTGCACGTCCTTCAGTTGCATAGCTGCTTTGGAATAGTGAGAGTTCCTGAACACACTGCTGAACAGGTCTGTGAGGAAGGCGCTGGCCCGGCAGAACACGTTGAGGGCGTCCAAATACTTGGAGATGCCTTGCTGGATGTCTGCGACGGCGGTGGTGGCGGCGCCGGAGGGTGGTGCGTGGCAGCTGCCGGGCATGCCCACCCCGGTGCCCATGGGCACAGAGGCCGAGCAAGAGGAGGCCAGGGAGGCGCTCAGGGTCCGGCTCAACTCAGGCATCTGGTACTGCTGGTGCTGTTGCACTTTCTGCTTGGACCCGCCGAGCAAAAAGCGACGCTTGTAGTCCATTTTACTTTCCAGCGCACTACAACAATACATATGTGGTGCAACAGCACCGGGAGCCGCTGTTTTTACGGTTTTTTTTGTTTCCAACCCGCAAAAGTGTCCTCTTTTACAAAAACGAGGACCTGAAACTGTTCAAAGTTACTCCGCCTCCACCTGCCAGAGGCTCATCTCAGTGTGCCTTGCAGAGAGGCAGCACAGAATTGGGCGAGGTCAGAGATGGGAAGGCGTCAAAAAGACTGGCAGGCTAAGTGAAATGCCTACATGCAGCCCTGCTGCAGATACGTCAGGTCCAGCTCAGACGCAGCACAGTCACACCTTCAGAGTCTCCGTTTCCAGCTTCAGACTAAAGGATCACAAAGAGGGAGGAAAAGTCAAAAACAGTGCATAATTTACTTATAGGGACACTGCAGTCAATTTTTCAACTTTCCTTCCACATGATGTGGTAAATAAAATCCTTCTTTATACAGTATATAGAGTATATACACATATGCATGCATACATATATAAACTTTTATCGCCCTGCACTGATGGTTAGGAAATTCAGACACTGGTCAACAGCATGTGGGAAAATAACTAATAATAATAATAATAATGTTTTTTCAATAACAAGTAAATGCTGGAATGGGAGGATGTGGCTTCTTGTACACTGATCCAGTCCGTCTCACAGCCTCTTTGCTAAGCAGGACTCTGCGGGCGGCGAGCGAGGGGTCTGCTGACAGCTCCGTCTGAAGTCTCCAGCAGCTTCCTTCCCCCCAACCCAACAACACTGGCTGAGGTAGATATTACTCACCGGGGAAACAAGTGTGCTTCCAGATCTCGCTGCTCTCCGCGGATGCAGATCAGAGCGACAAAAGCACAAATGTATCTGTAAGGCCTCTAGGTCATTTCCTAAGGAAGGAAAGGGCAGAGAGACACAGAAGGAAGGGTTAATGTGACGTCAAAGAGGAAGGATGAGCTCCATTCCAACTGTGTTATTGTTACACCCAAAAACCAGGTGGATGCCATTTACTACACAACTTAACCCACAAGACACAGAGCTACACTAAAAAGTAATAAATGAATATTGTAGTATAAAAAAATTACCTGATCAAACTGAAGTTGTAAAATGAGCTACACAATGACAGTTTGTGGTAGTTGTGTTCAGTTTAAGATCAAGACACTGATGACATTGAACCCAGAGTAATGATGACGACGTTCATTGTATTTTTGGGAAGTATTAACTCAAACAGTCGCTTTCCTGCTTCGGTTGGAAACGGATGACATTCAGTCTTGAAACTTGGTAGTAATATTATATCACTGTTTTGTAAAGAGCTGTGGTTTAAAGTTGGACATTTCTAGACGATTACTAACGCTGGTCCTCGGAGAGCGTCTCTGAAAAGAATCGGTGGCAGTGTCTGGTTTGGCAGATCACAGCTGCAGAGAGAGATTCATGCTAGAAGCCATTGTCAGAAGACACTGCAGGGCCTGTGGAGCTTAGTAGGAATCACAATACTCTCATTCAATTATGTCAAGTGCATTTTGCCATTCGGCCTTTTCGCTTCATTATAATCTGCTCACGTCTCTTCCTACGAGTTCTCTCAGTCAAAGGCAGCATAATGTCAGAAAAAACTCCTGTAGCATGCAAAGTAAACAGTAAAAAAAACTTTTGGCAACACAGCTGACAGAAACTTGATTTAAAATTTTTTTTAAAACTACCTATAAAAGCCTCAAATATATTTGTCAATTTTTCATTCATTTTCTATTCGGCCACAGGAAATATATGAAGATTCGGCGTTCACTGTGGGCCAGTAGGTGTATTTTCCAAAGAAAAGATAGAAGCACTGAACCGGTTCCTGTGGCAGTTGGCTACCAGACGCGCTGCCGATGAGACACCAAACATCAACACGGCGGACTAATCTGCGCGGTGCAAAGCTCCTCCCTACGCAGCAGACCGTTATCAGGGAGCGCCATGCCGCGCCAGCGGCTGAGTGAGGGAGAAATCCTCATCCCCGCCTGACCCTTGTGGCCCAACACCCGCGGCTCCCACGACGCGGCACCGACCGCCGAACCTCACTTCCTTTCACCAACAGAGAGGGGGGCGCCCGACGCTAGAACCGCCCTTATCTGCCCCTGACTGTGCAGAGACGGCGCCGATGGAAACTAGTGACCTACTAGTGTAGGGACAGCAGGGATGTGCTTCCCGTTTTATTTAACCCTTACGTTACACGCTCGGGCCGTATCAGTCGCTCTGAGGCTCATGGGCACTGCCGCAATTCTTTTTCTGCAAGTAAATTTTTTTTACACATTCCAGGGCACGACAGGGAGCCCCGGAGTGTCAGTAGGAGCTGTTAACAGGTTGCATTCGTACACTGCTGTCTGCTTATATTGGTACGCTTTAAAATATTTGCTAAGAATGCATCCATCGGACCAGATCTATTCTGCTCCCAGAGCTGCACGTTTGGCATATTTAGAGTTTTCCGACAGTTGATCAATGTTCGTCTTTGGGTGCGACGCTGCGCTCGTCACTGTGCCCATTTTACCCTCGAGGTCTGCTGCTGTGCCTACTGGGTAATCGGTGGCCGTTTGGGAGGGCAGCTGAACTAGTGCAACGGTGCAGTCCTCTAAATCCCAGGGATTACAGGCACAGCGAGAACCTGCCCGGTGCCCCACACGGTCTGCTGGTTGACACAGATAATAGGATATGTGCTCCTGCGAGGTAAACAGGAAACCTGAGCGGAGCTGGCCTGAGGAACGCCACTCTACTTCTCACACTTTCATACTGCCGGGACAATTAACAAGGAAGAGCACAGAAAGACTGTGGGACCAAAACAATGCCAGTCAAGTTGTTTGGAAGAAGACTGCAGAGCCAACCACAGGGATCCAAACTTGCATTCAGTGCGTTTAATTCATGGGATATCATATTGTGTCTGTGTCATTTTTGCACATTTATTAAACCACCTATTTTAGAATATGCAGTTTAATGCATTGACAAATATATTGAACAGACTCACAGCCTGAAACAATTCAAACTAATTGAAATCAGCAAGACCAAAAGGTTGAGTAAGTAGCTTTTGTGTTTTGGTTAGCGGGGAAATTATAAAGACACAATTTGACGTCGCTGGATTCAAACCATCTCATGGCTTCAAATGGTCTTGTGGATTTTGACTTTTCTCAGAGGGAAAACTTTTGGTTTGATGTAGATTTCTGCTCCACACACAAAAGCAGGAACTGATTAAGTGCAGTGAGTCACGATCCATTCAGCCTGAACAACAGAGCCAGATTACAACGAAGCCAGATTCTTTTTTTTTTCGGGGGGGGGGTATTTGCTTTGTTGGTGGTTGCTCCAGGCAGATACAGGATATGTTAGTAGAGTGTGTTAGTGGTCGGCACTTCCTTCTTAGCCACAACATTATCTTGGACGTGGAGGTCGTCCCAAGAGGCGCGGCGGACACGGGATCAATATTAATCAGGCCCGCTGGCTTCTCGCTGCGCCTCGGTGGGCTGCCAGCTTCCTGTTGCAGGGCGCGCTGTATCAAAGTTGCACCCAAACAAACACATGTGATAGGAGAGCCCCCCCCGGATGCTACTGGAGTAGTACCAGCACGCTTTAACGTCCCTCCTCCAGCGGCGGCTGCTAATGTTAGCTCTACTTCCACTCACTGTACATGTCAGCTGCTCCGCTTCAGCAGGACGGGGGTTAAGGTTTCCTGGAGCGAGCGCCCTGACGCCAGGGACAGGAACGTCAAATTAAACACACCGCTCGGTGGGGGGCGCGTTGTAACCGCAAGGTTGGTGGTTCGAGTCCCGGCTGCCCCATGTCTCAAGTCGAAGTGTCCCTGAGCAAGACACCTAACCCCTAATTGCTCCCCGGGCAAAAATGTAAAGAGGGCATTTTCAGTGGCCGCAAGACCAAAGATGTTTTATCTTGTTTTTATTTCAGGAACTCTAAATCAACAACTGTCGGCTCTTGGCCCCCGAGCAGCCGCACACAGGTAGAAGTGGCCGGTGCTCAAAGGCACCTTCCTTGCAATAACTTTTGAAACTTCAGCCATATTGCTGCAAATGTTCAAATCCCAAGTAGGTACTTTAATAGTTTGGGGCAGCTGTTAAACACACTGACAGCTACTTATCCATCTTCCACCGTGAGGCAAAAGCGGGCCCTCTGACGCTCGGGCCGCAGGCCCGACATCAACTCTCAAGGGGTCTATTTCAGCCTGCACGGGCCAAACAGCTGCCCTACGGTCCACTCCGCACTGTTTTTAGAAACTCCAAAAGGTTTGGCTGGGAGAAGAAGAAAATATGCTCTCCCCTACATCTGTTGCCAATGAGGCAGAGGAATGCATTTCCCCAAGAACGCTCTTAATGAGGGTTCAAACGAACACAAAGAAGCAGGTCAGGCAAAAAGCAAAGCCACATTTCTAAGCAGCCCCTTTAGAATATTGTGTTTGGTGTGTACGAAAAAATATATTTCAAAAAAGGAACAAATTGAGTTTGGAGCGATGTGAAAAGGAAGCTTGACTTGAGGACTTTCCACGGAGCAGATAAGCTACAGCGGAACCCGAGAGCTGATCAGCAGACGGTTCCCGGGGGTCGGTCCGAATGACGGGACAAGTGCTGTGAGCAACTGTGTGACAGGAGCCGAGCGAGGCTCCTCTTGCCCGCAGAACACAAGGGGAGTATTGTAGCAGGCCGTGGTCTCCTCATACCAGCACGCAGAGAAAAGACACACACACACACACACACACACACACACTTGCACGTGCAGCTGCATTACTTTGTGAGAGAAAAATAAAAAAAGGCCATGGCTGTGGCTTAATATTAACTGCAGGAATAGATTTTGAGCCATCAGTGTCTCCTGGAATTATTTTGTAGGCAGCCGAAGGTTTTCTGTGGTTTGAGGGTAAAGTTTGGTGTTGATCCCATGTTGGGGCTAATTTTGTTCTGAGGCTTCGGAACTAAAGATACATTTTTCTTTAATACTCAAATATCCTGACAAGTTATATACAGTTTCCTGTGAAAGAGCAAACAGTTACATTGAACTTTTAGGTGAACTTTGTAAAGCGGTAGTGAAACCGCAGAAAACCACTGTTGAGTAACTTGGGACAAAACCCGATACTCGTATCAGCCAGGAGGCTGGTACAGCTGCATGATGTAGGGCTCACCTGTACGGTCATAAGCAGCTTATGGCGCCAATAACAAAAGCAGACGAACCCGTCTACCAAAGAACATACTTGAGGGGCCAACAGGCCCGTCGCATAGCAAGCATACACCCCAACACGGGCCTGAGAGAGCCAACGTTTAACCTAACCAGAGCGTTTTACACAAAGAATGCATCCCTTTCACTGTTTTGACTCACGGCTAAAATAATTTGCTTTCAGAATAGCGGCGTACAATAGCGTGCGTTCAGCGAGCCCATCGCTGGGTCTCAACGAGCGAGACCTGCGATGAAAGGCTGCGCTCCATTCACGAGAGACTGGGGGCAACCTGTGGGGATGAAAACGCTGCCCTCAGCCTATATCGAGCCGGCTACATACTGAGGTTGCAGCTTGTGCAGCATGCCAGCCACCAGGGCGCCGTATTTTTAGCCAGGACAAGAGTAAGAAAACACTCTTCCAATTTAGGCACAATGAGACGGGATATGGAGGTGCCACAGAAGCCTGAAAGTCAGGCCTGGCTCACACAAAAAGCCAAAACAAGCAACGCTCGGGCACAAAAAGGTATCCATGACTACAAAGAGAATTTAATAGATTAAACCATTTGAACGGGGGACGCTGGTTTAGGCCACTGCTGAGGTGCCCTTGAACAACACATCACATCTTTATCCGTTCTATTACTCACGGTTTGGTTTCCAACGTCATCGTGGAAAACCACTAGAAAAATATGTCCAACAGGGATTAATAAAGACCTGTATCACATTACTGGAGAGCCCAGATTCTTGTTTTATTTTCTCATCACCTTGCGGGAGCGATCATGCATCTCACTGGGAACATTTGCCTGAGGGGCAAATAGCTGACCACAGAATAAGTCAAAAATTGGTTTCCATGGGGACGAGGGGGTGCCCATGCTAAAAGTGTGTCCGCCGATTCGACAATCCACTAGCTGCTGCGCTTTGCTCGAGGACTAACATCGCCTTCAAGTAATCCACGGAAATGGACTCGTTGGTTCAAGTGTGCGAGAAAAAAAAAAGAGCTGGGCTGAGCAAGCAGCAGATGAAGCGGCAGCGGGCGAGAATAGACGCAGCGCTCAAACGTCCCCTGTGCCAGAAGAAACGGACCTCCGCCGCCCCGACGCCCACCAGTGCAAATAGCGCTGTTAGCTTTGTGCATCCAAATGGAAATCCTGTCACACAATACAAACTCAAACAAGCCGGCGCTCTCGACGATGGGACGCGACGAGGGAACCTGGCGTAAACCTGCCGCTGCTTTCAACTCTATGGCCACGGGGGGACGACGGCGAGGCCTTACGATCACTCCAATAAAATAAAAACCGCCCCGTCAAAGCATTGAAACATTCCATAGAAGTATAACCCGTTTATGGTACGATATAAAAGGACTTGTTCTCCGAGTCACTAAAGTGAACCAAGATGTTGAAATATTCCTGACATATGCTTATGTAAGTATAACCAAGCCATAAATAACTATGAATATTCCTGTATGGGGGAGCTTAGTGGAAGCTATCCACCAGAGGTAACATTTAGCTTCCTGCGCTTTACACCTGTTGCTCCTTTGATATCGTCTTAAGGCAGGACGCTCCATCAAGATATCTAAACTCAGATTAAAAACCACAAGCGACCGGAGACGAACACATGAAATAGAACAGAAACAGAAAAGTCATTATTCCGCCCTGACGCCAGTGTGGGTCACCTCACCCATCGCCCCAGCAGAAACTCCTCCGTACCACTCACCCGTAACTGAAACTGTGCAGCAAGAGAAACGTCAGAAAGCTCCTTTGTTGAAGGAAACAGCATTCAGCTCTGTGGAGACGGTGTCAGAAGAGCACAAGCGAGGACTGTGCTCCACCCGAGGCGAAGCGCAAACAGTGATCTTGTGACTGTATGTTGACTTCCTCACACATGCATCCGGCTTGGAAGAAGCAAAAGGTGGCTCTTCTCACCCCGGCACACAATCGCACGTTGACAAGTGATGTCAAGAAAAAAAGATTAAAAAAATAAGTGGAACCTTTGTAGCGGTCCACAAACTGACCTATCGTTCAGTCACGCCGTCTGAATGAGCTGCTGAAAGAGTTGAAAACACGCACAGGGGGAACTCTGCAGAGCGAAGCACGTCGATCTATGGTGACATAGAATCAGCACCTTGATTCAAGGTTGCTTCCATAAAAACTGCACCAGCCGCAAAACTCAAAAAGGAAGGTAACATGATTGCCTTTGTCGAAGTCTGAAATTACACATTTTTTGAAGAGGCTAATGTCAGTCAAATTCTTTTCATCATCATTGACCTCGATAGGATCATAAATCTGAAAACAACTCAAAACACTTTAAATGAGTCATGGTTCAGATTGTCATATTTATCATCAGTGTTAAAAATGTGCTGTGCAGGGTGGAATAAACAAATACATCACTCAAACCACGTTGGAAAACAAATATTAGGGCCATCAGGCAATTCCCAAAACTGAAACCCCCATTTATGTTCATATATTCCCAAGTAAATACGGTTGATTTGATGACAACAGAAGCTGGATTTCAGATTCCAATTTCAATCGCAAAGAGATTTGTTGATTATAAAACATGGATAATGTTTCCTTCGGACATCCAAGAGGGGGAAACGCTTAAATACTGACGGTGATCAGGAGCGAAGCTGCAGAAACAGCTAGATGTCTCCCTCGACCTCCCTCCGTCCCCCCAAACCCCGGAACCTTTACAGGTCGGAGACCTCCACAGACGTGGGACAACGACACGTTGACGCACACCTCCGTTACTTTACGGCGCACCGGCTTTGCAGACAGGTCGGCTGCTCCCGCAGGGGGGGGGGGACGCTTTAAACCCCCGATCACTATTTAGCAGGAAGGTGCGGCGGAATCCCCGCGAGCGCACTTTGCCGGTTTCGCCGAAACTCTCCGGCCGGCACGGCCCGTGTCGTGGGAACACTATGTCGCAGCTGTAAATACGGCCTCTTTCTCAACGCCCTAAATGCCCGGTCGCCGGAAAAGGCTCCCGTGCGTCAACACAACACACGGTCGGTAAAGCGACTGACACGAAAACCGTCGCAACGCACAAAGACGGGCGACCCCCCGGTAGGCGGCAGCCCGGTTCCGCTGCACCCGCGGCTTTGACACTCGCCCACCGGCCACATAGAAGCGTATGGACGCTCGTTGGCTAGCAAGCTAGGTCACTTCTCCTGGAGCCACGGCCACCACACACACACACACACACACACACACACGCTACGTCGCCATACGAGCTGCAAATCACGCCCTTGTCGTCCGCTTGTCTGACGTTAACCTGCATTCCTCATTGTGCGGTATGCGGTTGCAGCAGAGGACGCGCGAGTCCGTTATCGGACACGCCGCTTGATTAAACCGGGTCGCCGCTGGCGCCGAGGCTCGTTGACCGGCTCGACCAGCCTCACCTGCATCGCCGCGGTGACCCCTGGTCGAGACGGGAATCAAAGCTGCAGCATCGCCGACGGATGCGATCGAGTGGCAATGAAAACAGAAAACAACCGACTCCGCCAATCGCTCCTCCTTCGCTAGCCGAGGCGGATGCGCTTCATTAGCAGACATGGAATTAGATTTACCAAAATACATGTATGTAACGTTAGATGCAGAATAACAAAACGTCACATGTATTTGCAGCCCTCGGTCAAAACATATATTGCACTCTTTAAGGGGGGTGGGATTTAAAACAGAAATGAACATTGAATTGTGTGTAAGTGAGGTAAGTCCGATAAAGGATGCATCGGTTTCCTCGGTTATTCGCAGGCTAGCCACAAAGCTAAGCGAGCTAAGGTTAGCTAACCTGCTAGCTCTCTGCGACACGATTGTGAGCGCTGGTGGAAGGCAACAGCCAACGTAAGCGGCCAAATGGTACAAATCATAAAGGTCAACGGCAGTCAGCACCGCCGCAACCAAAACAAAACCAAAAAGCTCCCGCAAAACACGAAAGAAATGTCAATACACGTTAAGTTAATCCCCACATCGCTTACCATCTCTGGGCATCCACCCTCTTGACAGCGAATCCCCTGCCTGTGTGAACAGCGTCAAGACGGCGTCGATAAAAACTCAAACTTCCGGCGAAACCTTCGCAATAAAACCGACAGCTATGTCTCTATTTCCCAGTCTAAATTTGGTTGGATTGGGAACTTGGTTTAAATTCACTTGTATATTGACTAATATACTTTCAAAATATCATGTTCTATACCATTTCAAATAATTAACAATTGGATAGGCTCGTAATAAATGAAAATATTGTTATAGGTGGCTGTCCCTTTCAGCTATAACATAAGGAAAGCTTTGTATCCGGATTTACATGATAGGACAACACGCGATACGGGAAATGATACTATATGTATATCAAACGTGGTATTTTATTTCATTTATTTATTTAATAATAATATTCTTTATTTTGTTATTTGGTACACAAGCAGCTGTAGCCATCTAGAAAAGCAGGATGCTAAACAGCTAAACAATGCCTTCAATGTTTCTCTGTACATCATTTTAGTCTTTAACAATAATTTAGTCATTATTCGTCATTTTTGAGCTATGACGCAGTGACTCACATAATAACATGAAAGGCTTTAGTTGCATAAAGTCGTATTGGGTCATTGGTCACCCAACTGGTCGTCTGCCAACCGATAAGTTTTCTCTAACTGCTACATTTAGCCTAATTTAAAATTGTAATTATATTTCTCGTTCTGTTTTGAAATACATCAGACACATACATTATCAACATAGCTTTATATATATTTTTTTTTTTCTTATTTTCTTCCTCTGGTGAAATCACTTAAACTATTTGCGGTTTTTATTTTGTTTATTAACCCCTGTGGATAAGCCTAAAACAGAATGATTGGTTCTTGTTAGACAGCTTTTCCCGCCCTCCAATGTTAGATGAAGAGCATTACACCCTGACCCCGTGTTTTTATTAAACGGTCGCTTGGAGGCGTTGAGATCCGCAAATTGCATACAATAATTATTCTTGTCTGGGGTTCATTTCTATGGTATAAAAGCTTATGTAGGCTGATGTGGATATCTAATGCATATTTTTCTTCCTTCCATTTATGTGTTGGCTGTCATGACAACAACTAAATGGTAGATCATTACAATTTAAAAAGTGCAACCTAATAAATAATAAAGAAATGTATGCTCATATTATAAATAAATATGATTTAAATAGATGAATGAAAAGCTTCAACTTAATTTCCCTTGTGTCATCAATATGTAACTATAATCAATAGATTACTGCAAACGTACCAATGTTGGTTAGTTTTTTACTTCAAGAAGTGCCAGAAAATAAATAAAAATACATTTGAAGAGTATGTGTATTTAATATGCAATGATTTATTACTGCTTGTTCACTCTTGCGCCTTAATCTTTAGGGCAGAGGTCTTCAACAGGGGGTCCGCGACCCCCAAGGGGTCCGCGAAGGTACTGCGGGGGGTCGCGACATTTTTGGTTGATAAGACAATTTTTTAAAACATTTTTTTCCCCAACAAATGTAAATGTCTTCAGAATCAGAATTTTATTTATTGTATTTAAATACACATTAACATGAATCCAACATATTGAAGCGAACGGATAAATTGATGGAGAAGACGTTATCTGTCAGTGCGCAACGCACACATTCAGCTACACACATTCAGCTACACTCAGCAGCTCTCAAGCTGGGCACCGATTCACTCACTGCTCCTTTCATGCAAATACGACAGCGCAGGCACCAGCCAATCAGATCGCGTTAATGCTCACGTCTAAAGAGCGTGAAGCTCAAAAATAAAAGATGGCGGACCAAACTCCGTAGGGGGTCCCTGCTCCACCTCGCAATCAGTTTGGGGGACCTTGGCTTGAAAAACGTTGAAGACCTCTGCTTTAGGGTATTAGAGTTGACCTTTATTCACATTCATGTCATCTGAACTGCAGTGAGTGTCCTGTCCCATTGCTGCCTTCAATTTGTACAGCTACTGTGTGTATTTCACAGGGATTTAAAATGAGCGAAATTGTAGAATGAACAGTAGCACCGTCTGCAGCGTCTGCTGAACTACGTGCCACTGAGCTGCTGCACCAATGACGCTCCCCTATCAACACTGTAACCGTGCAGCGCAGTGTGGAGGTGTGACCTGCACAAGCCCCGCATATGGTGTGTCTCTTGTAGGAGGAGCATGAGTAGATGGGGCCTGGACGCCCTTGAAAAAGCTCTCCCTGTGACCTGCTCGGCCCCACTCAGCCAGGCCAGTCGGACACGGCGCACTGCACGAAGCCTCTCTGGACATAATGGGACTCACACAGGACCCCAACTTCCAAAAGCTGCAGGACTGGTACACAGCTCACGCGCTGAACCTCAACATCAGGCACATGTTTGAGGCTGACAAGGAGAGATTCAACAAGCTCAGGTATGCAAAGTATCTTATTGTGTTTTATTCCGTGAAATGCAGAATGCACCGTATCACTGCAGGAAGTAGATATTTCCTTTGGTACGTCAATGAGCTTTGTTATTAGTCTGTTGTCTGTTGGCAGTCAGGTTCACATGATAATGTTGTGGCCCACTCTTCTTGCTCTGCAACTGTGCAGCTTCACAAATTACTGTGGATTGGATTTGTCAGAAAACATTTTTTGCACATGTCTCTGTGTTTGGACAGCCTCCGCATGAAAACTGAGGATGGAGACGTTCTTCTGGATTACTCCAAGAATCTCATCACCGATGAAGTCATGAAGATGTTGTTTGATCTGGTAAATCCATCTTTCTCACCTGCTGCTTTAGAAATGCCAAATGTCTCAATAGCTGATCCGGGCAGCTTTGAGGAGTCAAATCCTATTAGGATTTAAATCGTAATAGACAAAATGTGTCTTTATATGTGCAATATTGAATGCATTGACTAAAGATGTGATCATTCATTTGAATCTTACTCCCAATTCCAACTATTTCATTACATTTTGGACACTTGTCTGACATTTATTGTCTTTTTCAGGCCAAGTCCCGAGGCATTGAAGCTGCCAGAGAGAAGATGTTCGCTGGAGAGAAGATCAACTTCACTGAGGTGCACGTTGTCGTCATTCATGTCAGCTGTGACTTGACTCAAAGCAGTGTTCACCTCTTGACGTTTGACGTGACAGATTAACTCCTTCGTTGTGTTTTTTTAACTCATTGAAGGATGAACAACCGATTACAACGAATGCAGCAGCTTGATATACTTTAACTACTTTATCAGTACTGAGTGCTATGTGTGTCTGTGTGCGTCTTTTGTCCGGGTGCTGTGGGTGTGAAGGGCCGCTCCGTGCTCCACGTGGCCCTGAGGAACCGCTCCAACACTCCCGTTGTGGTGGACGGCAAGGACGTGATGCCAGACGTCAACAGAGTCCTTGAGAAGATGAAGGGCTTCTGTCATGTGAGGGAAATGCAACGTCACGCACTGCAGCAGCTTTGATGCACTGGAGTTTACAGCTTGCCCACTGCGATTGTTCCGTTGCAGAGAGTTCGCAGCGGTGAGTGGAAGGGCTTCACCGGAAAGGCCATCACAGATGTAGTCAATGTCGGCATCGGAGGATCTGACCTTGTGAGTGCTACTTCTGGAGAGATATTAATGCATTTTGATGAAAACATCTATGAGCCATATCGCGATCGACAGCTTTTACCACTTCACGCTTTTCCGGTCCCATGCGTTGTCTCATCTGAGCTTCCCTGTGCAGCCGCAGTCCTACCTGACCTGAATTTGTACTTGAATTGGTTTGGCTTGCAGGGCCCCCTGATGGTGACTGAGGCCCTGAAACCTTACTCGAAGGGTGGCCCTCGTGTGTGGTTTGTGTCAAATATTGATGGAACGCACATTGCCAAAACCCTGGCACAGCTGAACGCTGAGACAACCCTCTTCATCGTCGCATCCAAGGTATCCGGTTTACACAGATTGCAGCAGATGAAAAAGTTCCTCAAGCAGATCTGTGCCGTTAGTTCAGTACCATTATATAGTAATGCATGATTTTCTTTGTGTTTTGTCAATCTAATTCTGCATTCATAGACTTTCACCACACAAGAGACCATAACCAACGCCGAGTCAGCGAAAGCATGGTTCCTTGAGCAAGCCAAAGATGTGAGTGTGCAGCGGCCTCGGACTGCAGCAGCCTTTTGTTAGTTGGCCCACTGATATCCCTCAATCAATCTCTGTGTTTTGACAGAAATCTGCCGTTGCCAAGCACTTTGTGGCCCTTTCAACAAACGGAGTAAGTCACAAAACATCATTAAAACAGATGAAACCTTCTGTCTCTGTCCAGACATTGGACCCTAACTGTCCTGCTATATCTGTGTCTCCCCCTCAGCCCAAAGTCAAGGACTTCGGCATCGACACTGAGAACATGTTTGAGTTCTGGGATGTGAGTGCCCCTTTATCCACAGGCCGGGACCAGGGCCGCAGCTATAAATAGATTTTGACCTGTGAAGTAGGCGGGCGGACGCTCTGTCCGGCAGCTGCTGGGTAATCAGAAGCCCCTCTCTTCAGACGCAGTTATTATTGGTAGCGACCTTTTCTCTTGCAGAGGTCACTGTAAAGGCTGAGTTGTACCAAAGGTCAGAGGGCTGCATTTTGTTCCAGCTACAATACAGCAGACAAAATAGCTGCACGTTTTTTAGAATTTAGAAAGTGTGAGTGATCTGTCCCTAGGAGAGACAAAGAGAACTAGCCACAGGATTTTAGCAGATGATCAAAGGCAACCTGATGAAGTGCATCGTGAACTGTGCTGCTCATGTCAGTGCGTATTAACAAAAACGGGTAGCTTTTGAATAATTCCATTGATGTTACCAGTTCCTTCTGTTGTGTGCAACGCTGGCTTCTCTTTCATTAAAAAGCCAAACAAGCTATTTCATACGAAGTCTATTCAGATTTTGCTTTTTTCTTTCAGTGGGTTGGTGGTCGTTTCTCCTTGTGGTCTGCAATTGGAATGGCCATCGCCCTGCACATCGGTATGAACAGGGAAAACTATTATTTTTGTGTTTTGTTACATCATAAAAGTTGTCTGACTTTGGCACCTCCGAGTTGGATTATGGGGGAGACAAAGATCGCCCTCTAATTGCTCTTGTGATATTTTAAGCCCAACTGTTGAATTGATTGTGCATTTGGTGAACAATTCTGTCACGTCTCTTCTCCTTATCAGGCTACGACAACTATGAAAAGCTTCTTTCAGGAGCTCATTGGATGGTAAGTGCTTCTCCAACACCTTCAGTCGGACTCCCGAGTGTAGAAAAACGATCCACACCAGCTTTCCTGGAGCAGAAACATGAAGAACACACAGATGTGCATTCGCCTCCCTTCCTCTCCTGCAGGACAACCACTTCCGCACCGCTCCTCTGGAGAAGAACGCTCCCGTCCTGCTGGCTCTGCTGGGCATCTGGTACATCAACTTCTTCCACGCTGAGACCCACGCCATGCTGCCCTACGACCAGTACATGCACCGCTTCACCGCCTACTTCCAACAGGTCCGCACCCACAATGCCGCAGGAAGCTCAAGTACTATTTCACAATGCTAAATACGTTTTCCAAAAGGTGAAACTACTTGCCGATGTCAGCACAGGCCGACAGGACAACGCCATGTGAGTTTAGGACGTGTTACCGTTTTGATGGATATCGGTTATCTGTAGGGTGACATGGAGTCAAACGGAAAGTACATCACTAAAGATGGAGCACGTGTGAACTACCACACTGGGCCGATAGTCTGGGGAGAACCAGGAACCAATGGACAGCATGCCTTCTACCAGCTCATCCATCAAGGTAACGTCCCCAAAGATCCGCTTCGAGGTTTCAGTCAGAAGTTTCACAGACCAGGTGTTGTGTCTGTTGCTGGCGATAACGCTAGTTGGTTAGCCTCATGTCATGTGTCACTAATGCAGTCCAACTGTGTTGTGTCTCAGGAACACGCATGGTGCCTTGTGACTTCCTGATCCCAGCTCAGTCACAGCATCCCATCAGAGACAACCTGCACCATAAGGTATCCCTTGCGTTTGAAGACTTTTTCATCTAAAGCAACAAGGTAGAGAGCGGTAGTGTGCTCAGGAGTATATGTCTGCGGTCCAGTGGTGTGCAGCTGTGTTAATCGCCAGTATTGTAGCAATCAATTTGTTACAGCTCTGAGAGGCACCATGTGAACATACGCTGACTGCACTGCACTGTGTCTGAACGGGTGTGATGTGCGGCTGTAGATCCTGCTGGCTAACTTCCTGGCCCAGACAGAAGCTCTGATGAAGGGTAAGACCACAGAGGAGGCCAAGAAGGAGCTGGAGGCCGGCGGCCTGAGTGGAGACGCCCTGGAGAAAATACTGCCACACAAAGTGAGTCACATCAAGAAAGGAAACGCACCGACAAGTGAGACCAACGGCAACAAACGTAGGCCTACGTTTGAAAATCATTTACTCAAACCCAAGAAATCCCACTGGTTGGGAAGTGCCAGCAGAGTGAGGAGACAGAGGAGGTAGTGCCCCCCCCAGTGAGCATGAGTGAAAACAGCTACCGAAACACAAATTAAGGACATTTGTTGTCATTTCTGTCCTTGTTTAATAAAGGTGTTCCAAGGAAACAGGCCAACCAACTCAATTATCTTCAAGAAACTGAGCCCGTACACGCTTGGAGCTCTTATAGGTGAGAGCAAACAATGTTTCTGGTGACTGAGAGACACTGATGATAACATTAGGAAACCATGAATCAAATCACAGGTCACAGGCATGAGGCTAACACATACTGAAAATAACCAGACAATGTTCATTGACAGCTACTGTTAGGCTTACTATTCATCCTCATTAATGATACTATTTTCTTCTTTTATAATCCCATTGCATTATGTCTGCAGTCATTTTTTGTTCATGTGGTTATGATTATTCTGTCTTGTTTTGCAGCAATGTATGAGCACAAGATCTTCATTCAGGGTGTCATGTGGGAGATCAACAGCTTTGACCAGTGGGGGTGAGACCAATGTCGAGTTCAAACAGAATATGCATATAATAATATAATATATATATATATATGAGACGTGACAACATGCTCACTTTACAGTTGTAGCAGGAGTAACATGGATAATCATGAGTAAATGAGTCACTGTGTATCAGGGAGTTGTTTGTGTTTGATCCCTGAACCCGTCGCCTCTCTCCTTCCCCGCCGTATTATTAGGGTCGAACTGGGCAAACAGCTTGCCAAGAAGATTGAGGCCGATCTCCAGGACACCGCAGAGGTCCACTCCCACGACTCCTCCACCAACGGACTCATCAACTTCCTCAAGAATAACTTTGCCTGAGTTGAGGCCCCCCAGCCGCCAACCTCCACATCATTATCCGGCAAATCGGCTCTCGAGGCCGCTGGTCACTCCCACGCAGTCGAGCTGAAGCATTCTGTATGTTTTTACTCTTATTGTGGAGACGGTTTCTACGGTCCGATTTTTCTACGTTAGTTCGTTCACAAACGTGAAGGGCAAAAATCTTTTAGTATTTAAGTTGTGATACATGCTTTCACTGTCGCTTTGTCACACGAAATGTAGTTTCTGGAATAAATGTATCTGCACTGTTATAATGTGCTGCAAAAAAAGGAAACGCATGTATTCTCTCAACCCCATCACTGTGTGTGTGCAAAACGCCACTAGATGGCATTAGAGTGCCGGATTATATCGCCGGGACCAAATCTGCCACCCAGTAATCCACCATTTATTCAGTGGAACAAGAGTTCAATCCCACAAATCCCCAGACACTACAGCATCCATTTAGAGAGAAAAACAAACAGCATGTGACTAAAAGACGATCCATCAACTTCATTTGCTCAATATTTGTCAGTAAATGTCTCTAAAAAACATAAAATTACAAACATACAATTCACGGTTCACAATACATCGTGAGATGCTACCAAAGACGAGGCTCTAAGAGGAAATACACTCCACTATGTTTTGTTCTACTCACACTCACAGTGTTTGCGCTATGAAGACAAACAGAAAGTTAAAAAAAGAAAAAAATCCTAGACCGTCAGACACTTCTATGCTGTTGCCAGGCAACAATACTTCAAATCTACTTTTTTTAAATCTCTGGCTCTGAAACAGGATACAGAAGAAGTGAGTTTGACTGAGGACACAGAGCTTTTTTAGTGTAATGTTATTCAGTCTCAGGTACCACAAAACAATTAGTGTCACATAACTAATTGAAACGGTCATCTGAAACATGCATACATTAACTTCAACCCACAGCTGACTTTCTTAAACTTAAACTTTCCTCCAGGTTAATCAAGTCAGGTGCAGTAGGTTAAAATAAACAAGCAAGGCAACATGAGGAAATAAGGCACCAGGCCCAAGCTTAGTTCATCAGAGAGCATGAAAGCATGAAAAGGGTTGTGTGCGCGTTCCTGAGATGTTTGTTCAACAATGGCCCTGCACACTCTCACATTCCTCTTCATGCTTTATTGGTTGGCCCTGTCAGTCATTTTTTTTCTCTCCAGCCCGTTTAAGAGCTGCCGCCCCCCCCCACTCCCCCTGGCAGGGTCCCAACCCTCCTCAGTACTGTGGTTGTGCCGCCCCAAGTTCATGGTGCTGTCTGACGAAGGGTAGGAGCAGAGTTAGAGATTCTTCTCAACGGACTGACTATACCAGGGAGCTTTTCCAGCTCGCTCCGAGAGGCATTCAGATAATTTGCATTCATCAAGTGCCAGAGCACTGGAAGCCGTTTCAGGGTCAGCATCCTTGCATGTGAACAAGTTCGGAAGCTCAGCTTCAGTACAGAAGAGCAGCCTGCAGGTCCGTATAGCTAGTCTTATTGCTCGCCTCAACTTAATGTGCACGGCCGTCCGCCCCCACCGAGGGACCTTTGGAGACCACATAAACCCAGTGCATGATGCAGATGGTCCCCATCTAGTCCCCAGTCCGAGTAGTTTAAGGCTGTCATTGAAAGCTCTGCAAAAAAAAGAGAAGAAAAAGAAGGCCAGCTTCATTTTTCCCACGACCACTGGAGTTATATAAAGATTAACTGAAGTACGTGGGCAGGGCTCGTAGTGCTGCAGCATAAGAAGCCTGTAGCAGTCCCATGTGGCTGCAGGGGGCTCCAGCTGACCCCTTGTTGCTCTGGCTTCATGCCCCCCCCTCAAATTCCCCAACTCCTCCAGCAACACATTTTTTTAAGATCTCCTTTTAGCTGCATCCATCTTCCAATGCATTGCTGTTGAGGTCCACCTTGCAAACATGATACCTTGATTCCCCTTACAGTGAGAAATACAATAAACCATCTGATGAAGAGAAAAATGAAGCCGTGCATCCCTCACCTCCCTGTGAAATGGCTTGAAAAATATTCTTAAGCAACAAAAACTATATTGAATTAATGTTTTGGTAAAAAATATCACATGAAAATATTTGCATGCTCCATATCTGAATAATTCCATTGAGATTTCTCTGACCTCAAGGAACAGTCAGACGTTTATTTCAGCAATTCATCTCTGCCAAACTACCAGACAGCTGGGCGAGTTCATCCTCATGAGACGCCTCTAGATCAGTTATCCTCCTGGAATACTGTGCACTCCTTGTAAGAGTTTTTGTCTTCACTGCCTCTCCCGAATCCTCAGAAATACAGATATACAGACCAACATCTGGCTCTTATTTGGCTTCGCAATGTGAAAGATAAAAATACAAATACTCCCACGCTGATTTCGGCTGCTGCTAGTTTGATACGATATGTTCAAAGTGGCAGTTGGTATCTCACATTTTTTCGATCAAGGCTGTTTTCGGTTAAAATGACACATTTTTTGCCACGCAAGCATGAGTATTTGTGTCTGCAGGGCTGTTTTGTAGAAGTGATTCAGCACATCCAAAATGAAAGATAGAACACATTATTCAGTCTTCTGAATCACATATGCACTGTTGCTTTAGATAAAAAGGTACCATGTTTATCCAAACATAAGCTCTATAAGGCCTTTCTTTCAAACAGACTTGATGACTTATCAATCACACTGGCTCTGTTCCTTTCAAGTGCTCCCGTGAGAGTGAGCTGGCATGATGCAATCAAAATGCATTCGGTAAAAAGGTTTTTGAAAAATGATTGATCCTACATTTAAACTCAATAGCATACTTTGTTAGGCCCTCAACTGCTGGTAAATGCCTTTCAAACTGCACATCCCCAATAATGTTAAAGTTTCTGATGAACCAATGTGAAAGGTCTGCAAACGAAACCGGACGACATCACCAGGAACCACACTGATTACATCACGTGTGTGTTTTCACGTGTTTGCGAGCAGCCTACACTCACACTCGTTTGACTCATATTTAGTGGGGTGAAGTGAAATCATTTGCAGAGTTGAGCTGCTCCATTTTAACTGACTGAAGTATGCATCTTAAACACAATATTTAAAAATAAGCGATTGTTTTCAGTATGTTATGCTCTGGCTAGCAGAACATGTCCAGGGCCTTAAGTGTGATTCTGTGTGATGTCACACTTACTACGTACATATTTCTATGCATGAGCGCAAACTTTCAATTGAACAACTTCGCTCCTTTTAATGAGCGATGAAACAGACCGGGGTGGAAAACCGGAGGCTCGATTTTTTTGGTTACAGGAAAGGGGACAAAATGTCAGTAACCGAAGATGGTGGAGTGTATGCGGTAATCCTGCGGCGAGCATTTTTTCCCTCCACTTCCTGGCAGCAGAGGGACCCGCGTGCTCCAGAGGGAAGGTGTTCTTTTGTGCCGTGGTAACAGAGCTCACCTCACAGCGGCTCCCCTGGGGCTCTGCTACCTCTGCACACACACACACACACACACACACCTCCCTGAGTCACAGGGGCGAACCCTCACACACATAAAGGCCGCTTTGTGCCCCAACTCATGGAGCTGACAACCAACACCAGCGAGCCCCTCACACTGAACGCCAGTGTTTAGCTAACAGGAGCCCAGTCAGAGGACAGACCGCTCCTATGTGCGGCATCTCCAGCTATCTGTGTATCAGTGGCTTCTAAACTGAAATGGAAAAGTCACATTCAAAGGGTGAAGGGAGGAGGGGAGGGGGGGGGGGATGTATTTTTGAATTCTTTTTCAAGTTTTCTCCTCAGTGCGGGAAGGTTCCCTCGCCTCATCTCTCCTTCCCTCATCTCCCCTTCACTTTTAAAGACATTGCCTACGGTCGTCTGTGAGCCTGTCTCAAAGTATTTCCTAGAAATGAAAGGAGAGGATGACTCAATTTCGGGATATTTAGAAATTGAGCCAGGCAGCGGTAATTTGGCAAGCGAGCAGTAAAATCAGGACTTTCTTCTTTCTTCTTGAACCCGATCCACTCACCTGCAGGACGGGCACCGTTTATAACTTTAGAAGATGCTATTATTAATATGCAACCATCCGTGTCAGGCGGGAGGGAGAGTTCCCACCACATCGCAGGCTGAGTGCATGTCAACATGCAGCAGTATTTAACTGACGGCAGACAACAGCACTCTACATGCAGCTACATGTAGGGAGGCTTGGTGGGAGTTAGTGGAGACTTAAAGCGGAGCTAATGACAACGACTTTTGGACTCGTCACTGTCATATTTGACATTTCCTGTGATCAGTAACTTATAAAGTATATTTCATGGTTAAAATCTGGGCTTGTTTTGTGCTTTTGTAACTAGACACACAGACATCAGCTTTTCATGTGTGGTATTAACAGGAATGTTTATATGCTGAAACAATTTACTAAATGGGTACAAAAAAAGTGATTCACTCGGTATTTGCGATCTCTAAACTTTCTATGATAAAGAGGTTTCCGATGGTCTTATTGTTTGGTAATGTGGGTGTTGTGAAGCCTTTTGAGACATTGGCGCTTTATAAACACATTTGACTCGCCTGGTCTAATTAGAATTGGAGGCACATTAAGGGATGAGCGTGAGGGCGGCCACAGTGATCCAACCACAACCCAGTGACCCCCGGAGGATCATATTAGTGACCCGCGTGAAGACGTTAGGAGCTGCAGAGAAATATTAGAGTGAGTAGAGGAGATGGGATGTGACTTTAACAACAAGACATAAAAACCAGGCGGCCGTGGGAAAACCACCCGCAGTACATGTGGTCAAACCGTGGTTGACTCATGTCCACATGTTGTCCCTGCTGCACCCCGGGACTCTACCATCGCTTTGTCTTTTGCTTATTACTGCTACTGCACAGATCACTGAATAACTGCAGCGCTCCTAAACCCTTTACTACCGCTGCACACCTCAAATATGTCAAGTATGAAACCGGTCATAAAGGATTTATCTTGACAGCAGTATTTTATAGCTGGGTGTGATTTTGCAGTGACGGATTTCGTACTGAATAAGAAAAACTAGACAAAACAACAAAACTACTAACAGCAAAATAAAGGTGATAAAAACAAACATTTTTTGCAGTTAGCTACAAAACCACTTTATTGAAAAAGCAGATTAGGTCATCTACAGTTAAATGATACGTCCCAATTTTTAATACATTAAATAACTTTAGACTTTTTCATGTTTAGATAAATAGATCTAGTTTCCTTTTTTATGAACCATCTAGGTAATCAAAACACTTAGAGATACAAAAGATGTGTGACAGATGTGCGTGTTGGAACTACCAGTAGGAGAAGAAGTCTTCTCTTTCCAAGTGACATTTGACAGAAAAATAAAATACAAAACTAGCCTCTTTATGTACAGGGTAACTAGCTGTGTGCTATGCAAAAGAAACTCAAGTAGTACATTTTAACAGGGTGAATTAATTATATTTAAAAGGGGATACACTCTGATCTTGTTAAGTTTTTCTTGGAGTTTGATAATGTGCAGACAAGTCAAAATAAAAATAAAAACCTAATTCTTCAAGTACAGCACACATTACTTGATGAGAACCCTCATACGGAATTGAGGTTATTCAAACGAAACGGGGAATGTCTCAAATACTCAGTCCTTTTGTTTCTGCTTTTACAAATATACAACACTAATCATTATCACATGGAATGAATCTCATTACATCAGGTTTCATTTAAAAGCACTTCCTGCTTGTGGTGACCCCCCTTCAGTCTCTGCTTTTGACACATTCAGTAGTATTTATTCAGAACTGCTTGAACAGTAATGCAGTATGATGCACAACAAGGGTTTTGCATACAATACTTGGTGTTTGCTTTATTCCCGTGTGAACACCTTTATGGGTGCAAAGGATGACACATCATCAACTGGAACACGCCGCCGCCATGATGCTGGGCAGATGTTCAAACAAACACCAAGAACTAGACGCAAACATCTGGAGGGAGGTGGTCATCACTAACAGCATAGAGCAGGTATTTCTGTTGGTTGCTGCGCTGCCCTGCAAACACAGTGACGTGCATGTGCCCGTGGCCCTGCCATCAACACACACACGCACGCACACACCAAGGGAAACATGGGGCGGACTCCCTAAAAATGCGGGCGGGACCTGCAGCTCCGGGTTTTCAGGGACGTCCTCCCACGACAGAGCAGCAGACGTACGGCGAACCGGAGCGAGACACACAAACATGCCCGTTCCGTCTTAAGGAGCGGTGCTCTCAGGACAATAAACAGCATCTGTAAAGCTTTCAGGGTAACAGTGTCGAGCAAAAGGAATTCTCAAATAAACTGTTCAATTAGTTTTATTCCTCTTTGAGTACCAGATGGCCCGCATGCAGACGGTGTCGGTTGTCAGATCAATTTGAAAATAAGTTAAATAGGTGCTTGGTTAACACAAGGTGTTTTCTATTTGTCCTAAAGCCATACAACTCTCTGTATTATATTTTGAACATACAGATGTTTGGCCAGATACTCACAATAAATTCACTGTTTGACCTGATGTATAACTAAAGTCGGTGGAATTTGCACAAACGTCTCATTGTGCTACAGCTCTCTACAGTCAGTCGAAAGAGGCAACGTTCTAAACAAATACTTCTGTTGCCAAAAAACCTGATAGAGGAACCACAATTTGGTACTCAAAGTCGAAATAAATAATTGAAAGTGAATACTGTTTGATCTTCCAAAGCGAGTGGATCTGTGACCCAGCGACGGACACGAAGCGGCTCCGTGTCATCGAGCAGAAATGAGACAACAGAGAGGCTTCAGACTTCAGACCCTCTCTGAAAAGAAGAGATTCTACATCTATGATCTTATGTGGAAAACCGTTGCAAAATATATTTTCATATATAAAAAGACATTCTATGTGCATCTAAAATTGTCTTTTTCCGTCATAACATAATCATTGATTAAGACACTGCTCGTGAATCTCTCGAGGTCTCGTCTAAGACTCCTCAGTGGAATGTCAGTCGGGTCTCTCTGGTGGTGCTACGGTGCATCTGGTATTTCGGTGGGAGTCAAGGGGGGTTTGCAGGGTGATGAGTCCTTTGCGTAGCCTTTAGCAGGACTCCAATTCAGTGTTAGAAGCTGCACAGAGACACCCTGCTCTGAAGCCACAGCTCGCCCCTCCTGTCCCGTCCAGCTAGCACTAGGAATGTAGTCAGTTGCCCCCCCCCCCCCCCCCCAACTTTTCTCCATCATGTGACAGCAGCGCTGGTAGTGGGAGCGGCACACACACTGGCCCGGCCGGGGGGGAGGGGGGGGGGGGACACGTCCCTGGAGCTGCTGCAGAAGGGGGGCGTTGGGGGGGTACGGACCATTCATTCCTCACTGCTGGATGTCTCAGATCACCTGGGAGGCGGGGCTACGGATGCCCCCCCCATCTCCCCCTTCACAGCTCGGTGACATGGAGAGGGTAGCTGGGGGGCAGGTGGGCGGGGCCCTGCGACTGCAGCCGGTGGATGTGGCAGCCATGGCACAGCAGGTGGCTCTCCAGTGGGTAACAGCGGTGGCCCTCTTCGTCGTTCAGCTGGAGGCCGCAGTCCTAAAGAGAGCCGGAGAAACACCGTCAACAGGGAGAAGACCGTCGGTAGCTGAACGTGTGCAAAAACTTCATGGAATACGTTTGCTTTCTGAAAAATACGCTTCTAGCGAGGCGAGATGGGTTGCCGTCGCTCTCTCTCCCTTTCCAGTCCTGAGCTCTCCCGCCAGAGAGAGTAAATTAACATTCGTACCAAAACGTCTGTTCAATTGCTGTCGTGAGGATCTAATGCGGTGCGGGGACGCAGTGACGCATCGCCGTCGTGACGTCGGTCAGAGAGCTGTTCTACTGGACCGTAGCATGAGAGGCAGCTCCCGTCAGCTCGTATTCATATTCTGATTCGGTGTAGTGCTCCTCCCATACGGGCTCCCGTCTCCCTTTAATGTCTTTGCTGACACACATGTTTAGAAGCAGAGCAGATTCCATACGTTTTAGGAGCACATACACCTCAATTCTGCACACATCAGAAATAAATGAGTGTTTGCTCCTGAGCATGCAGGAGAGAATTACATAATCCTGCCCTCACTCGCTCTGCTGCTTTCCAGCCTCTGGATAAACAGCTGAAAATACATGTATTATAAATGAGTTTAAATGAGTGTGTGGATCAGTACTGCCGCGTCTCCTTTAAAACTCTAGGCCAAATAAATTGCTGGCAAACTCAATAGTTCCCGGCACCTCCAGTGAGACTTTTCTTTCCGATATGTAATAAATTTACTATCAGGATGCTTCGGCTGTGGACTTTGCCCTTCCTGTGTCCACGAGTCTCCCTCTCCACAACTGTCCAATTATTACCCGCCGCTTACACAACGATTCGATTGAAGCGGGATGTCAAGCCAGTCGCCGACGTCGGCCTTTTCCGTCCTTATAAATACGGTATCAACAGCTAACGAGAGAAATACTGAATCACTGCGCGGTGAAGCATTCAAGTATTTGTTTGATCCACTAAACCATTCTGTCACACTTGAACAAAGAGTTCAGACTGGGATGACTGGGATTTCACAAGTCAGGCTTGAGCAACATGTCCCCAGCTGAGTTCAGGGCTCAGCGCTGGAATGTGCTTCGTCAATGAGTGACAACGGTGAGCCGTAACCTTGGGTCGGTATCCGTCTGTGTGTTTTTCTGTGTGTGTGTGTGTGTGTGTGTCTCATTCATTCACAACGACTGCAGCGGTGACTCATGCTCGCCGGCAGCAAACCAGTCTGTGCGTTTCATTCTCGGGTCTACACCGTATTTTTAGAGAAGGCTAAAGTGCTGACGTTTGACTAAGAGTATTTGGGGTGAAGAGTCAGAATTATAAGCCTATCTGCATTTAGGATTTTAGATTAAAAGGAGGGGCTACAGTTTATATACAGTCCCAGGATTTGCAGCTGTTACCCAGGTCCAGTGTGTCTGTGTGCGTGTGCGTGTGCGTGTGTGTGTGTGAGAGAGGAGTGCAGGCTGGAGGAGCATCTCACCTCACAGTGGTAACACTCCACATGGTAGTCCTTGTCCATCGAAACCACCCGGATGGTTTCCTCGGAGCCCTGCATGGACAAGCACACGGTCAGACTCATTAAAGCACCACAGACGCCGTTGGGTGTTTGGTCGGTCACTACGAGACGAGAAACCCAACAGATATTTACGATTTGTGCAAACTGATTTTAGATCAGTCCCTTACCTGGGCTGGGAGGATCGGCTGGTTGCAGGAGGCACACTTGGGAGCAAACACCCTGTCAACAAAAGAGAACATTACCAACGTGAAAGTGCAAATCAGTTGACATCCCAATTGCACTTCATAATTGCAACTATAATTATTTCACAAAAGGAAAACTAGCACAGTTCTAATTTTCTCCTAACAGACTCAGTGTTCCCCTTTGATTACTCATCAGGTTTCGGCTCACAGCTTTACAGCACAACAACAAGCCGTGGACTTGGTGTTTGCTGCCCGTGCCGGGATGGGTGGGGGCCCCTGGACTAAACCGGGGCCGACCACCCGCAGTGTGCCAGGGTTTGCTTCACCGTTCACATCCATGAGTTATTTATTATCAGCGTGCAGAGGAGGGAGCTCACGTGTGATAGTCTTTGACACAGTAGATGTTGTTCTCAACGTCCACGGTGAAAGGGACTCCATCTAGACCCTCCTTACACACCACGCAGCGGAAACAGCCGGGATGGTAGGACTTGCCCAGAGCCTGGAGGATCTAGACGCCCACAGAAACACACACACACAAAATACACACAGAGGAGATAACGGTAAGACTTAGTAGGGAGGCCAGGGGTGAGATTTTGCTGAGATTTTATAAATCCCACATATCACAGTACATTTAAAATATTATGCTCTGTTGGATGAAGCTCCTACCATCTCCATGATGAGGTGACCACACACGAAACACTTCTCTGCCGTCTGCTGGAAACCAGAGTACTGGAAGACAAGACAACGGGCTCATCAGCTTCAGCAGTACACTTTAGGGGATCTTCTGCTGCCGTGCACTCAGTCGGACGGCTTCACCCCTGATGCACGAGCGTCCTGCAGCCCAGCCCGGCTATAGAGGGAGCTGCTGCTCTCTTTAAGAGAACATCAAAAGGCTTTCTTCAACAATCCTTTTGTCTCCCAGCTGAAGCTGTGACCGGCGGCGTCTCACCAGATGTTTGTTCTCTACCTCTCCGTAGCTGGCTTTGGTTTTTGCTCAAGGCCCTCCACTAAATTGCTACTGTTGAATCCATCCACATTTTGGAAAGCGCCACGTGTTTATCGGCCAGAGAGCATCTCCACTGGACTACGTGCGTTTGAAGGGCCTCCTGTGTGTAACACCCAGCGCCACATCGGCAGCTCCTTTCCCTTAAACCCGGATCAGAAGCGGATCATTACGGAGACCATCTGCATCCCACAACCGCCCCGGGGTGGTGACCTGTTGACTCGTGTGGGTGTGGGGAGATGAGGCTACCAGGTGAAGGTGGGAGGTGGTAAGGGGCAGGCTGCCCCCTGCCCTGACATCTCCACTCCAGATCTGCCATCTGCTACCACCTCCCTCCCACCCCCGAGACCACCCCCCCCCCCCCACAACCCCCCACACCCGGCGTGGCGAGCCAGACCAGTAAAGTCTTAGCTGTAGCGGTGGGGTGCGGGAGGGGGGGGGGTTGCGGCAAAAGAAGATTAGTCTCATCCAGTCATCTGACCACCAGCATCAGTTTATCGCGGACGGGCGGTGACTGTCACATGCAAAACAGGAATTTTAGCATTTCCCCGACAGATAAGCAGGTTGGACTCTGAGGGGAAGCTGCCTATAAACAGGAAGTACGACTGTGTTATGAAAAAACGGTTTGTGCTACAGGAACCTTTCGCAAGCTCCTTCCTGTCGGCAAACGCAGAGCTTGGTCTTGCATACAGTTATTAAAACAACCAGAGATTTCATCCGTCCGCCCACATTAAACTTATAATTACGTTTCCTCGAAAGAGGCCACGTGTGTGACAGTTAACCTGAAGCAGATGGACCAGGGGCCGGAGAGCTACAGCTGTCGTCCTCCTCGCTTAATTGTAGGCGCTGAGGAGCAGCCCGTGGGGTAATTGAGCTCCTTGGGGAAATAGGGGGGAAATTAGTGTGAATCAGAGGGGCGGTGCTGAACTTCTAATTACAGCGGCCAGATCTTTCTCCTCTGGAGATCTGTAGAAATGTAGCCTGAGATCTTAATCCACTCACTCTCCGCCCAGCCGCCTGTCCAGCGCGAGGCCACTCGGCACGCCGCTGCCAGCTGACCATCACAGAAGCACATCACTGATCGCCAACACACAGGTGACTCACCAGGAAGTCCTCCTCGCAGTAGACCTTCCCGTTGACGTTGTAGAAGGCTTTCCCTCGCAGCCGCCGTCCTGAAAACAAAGAAAAACAGCATGAAATGTGCTGCCGTAGATGTGTGACTCGTGTGCGGAGAGGCCTTTGGATCACTTGGGGTTGAGAAAAAGATGTGGTAGCTGAATGAGGTGTGTTGCAACCAAAGTTCCACGACAAGTCAAAGGGAAAATATTGTCTGATAACAACCGGGCTAAGCTAACCAACTTTATTGATCATAGCTTTACCTCAGCTTTCTCCAACAACCTTTAACTGAACGAAATGATTCGTTGAACGCCCTGACAGGAGTAAACAAAAGTACAGCCGCTAAAACACCAAGTCTCTCACCCCAAATATTTTGCAGTTATAAATAACATGCAGATTCATTTTGCTGAACCACGTTCTGCAGTGACAAGGCCAAAAAACAATGCTGCAAGCCAGGTCCCAAAGGTGTTGCGGAAAGCAGTCCCAGGAGAGAGTGAGCTTCTGGTTTGGCTGCATGTTAAAAAGAAAAACTCACCGGATGAAAACATTATGGCCGACACAGCTTTCCAAATGATATTCATCTAATGCGATGCAATCATTGGCCGGTGTGCCTTCATCTCTGCACTTTACAACCTCAAAAGAACGTGGGTGTGGAGCAGATGGCCGGCCTGGGGGTCATCAACATCGTGCCTCCGTTTAATTACTTTGAGCATTGATCACAAAAGGGATCCCATTCACAATCCATGCACAATCAATACAGCAGACTGCTTCCAACCCCCCATTGTGCACCGTTCACAGACAGATCAACCATAGCAGGCCGGAGGGAGGATGTGCCCAACGTTGACAGACGCATCGAGCCGACGCGATTAAGCAAACGTTTTTTGTTTTTTTAATTGATCGATTTCAACATTCATCGAGATACAACCCCAAACTGTTGAAGCTGCTACTTCTGGCTTGGCGGCATGTTAAGGCTGATGAAACTTATCATCAATCCCGTCAAAAGTTGCAGGGACACCAGCAGGGAAACGCGGCCCAGCTCGGAGTGTGAGTCTTCATTCACCAGAATCCGAGTTGGAATCCAATCTAAAAAGGAATTCTGCTGTGGTGCTGCAGCCCCCCCCCCCACGCACCCCTCACAGCTCGTCCATTCAAATTCATTTAACAGCAGCGGTGTCTCTCTGGCAGCATGATGACTTCACCCGGGCCGGGCAGACGCAGCGCATGGATCTCATAAATCTGCTGGATTAGTCAAGATTTAATTGTCGTCCCGAGCCACTACTGGTTTTATGGGTGTCCCAGCAGTCTCTTTTTTAACATTGGAAATATATTTCACACACAAACCCCGTGTCACAAACGCTGGGAGACGGCAATACATTAACACCCACATAAACGGCTGCAGCGGCCGAGGAATGCCGTCCACACAATAGGTGAGACTTTTAAGACTTTGAGACGGAGGAGCAATTAGCATTTTGCTAGCATGGAGGCAAAGAGAGAAGCGGGACTGAGGAAGAACTCCTGTGTGAAGCAACTCTTGAGAGACGCTTTCTCCAAAGCAGAGACGTGGGAGAGGCTAAACCTGCAGGAGCGGTGTGAGATTATGGCGACCGCGGCTGCAGCGAGGTGAGGGGGGGGGTGAGACGTTGCTGTGTGCTCGTCCGTGGCCTCTGCTCTGGGGTCTGGAAGGTGGACACACAAAGGGCCCCGGCGCTGATGGCTGTGTGGAGCGCTGCGAGGGGAGAGCGGCCCGACTGAGCAAACGGGGACATTCTTTCTGACTGAGGTCACTAGCTGGTCCCATTCAACCCCCCACACCTCTCCAACACCCGCTCTCTGCCCGCTCCCCTTGCCGGTGAGAAGAGGAGGGGGGGGAGGGCTCCATGCCTCTCTCCCCCTCTCCGGCCTTTTGTCACCAGACAGCAGAGCCTCCTCGCAGCGCTACAAATGAAGTTACTACTGGATCTAAGAGCTCTTGGACATTAAATGCAAATGGATGCATTACAAGCATAACTGCACAATGTGAGGTCAAAATGTGACCCCGAGGGACATCACATCATGGCCTCATCAAGATAATGCATATTTTTGAATTATAAATGGTTAAAAGAAAACACAAAAGAAGGAATTATTCTGATGAATATAAAGCGTTATTATAGTCGTACTACTTCAACATGTTGTAAAGACACACGTTCCCATTTAGCAGCTAATAGAAGTTAAATGAGCTGCGGAGAAACAATGTGGAAAAACAAATTAAGCCCATAAACGATTAATAATGACATAATTATGACCTCTGCGCTCCTTGAAGCAGTTGCTTGTAATGAGAGCTCATTTTGTTAATGCACCCATTATGATTAATGGAGTTGCCATGGAAAACAGCGGTGGTCTGGTGAAGGAGGTCTACTAAATGTTATCTACAGCAACATTTGCGGGCGTCCACAGAGAGTTGTAAGTTGTTTTCTTTTATCCCCCTCAGGTCTTGTTTGGACTGGGGAATGTGCCCCCCCCCCTAGATACGGGATGCCCGGACCAACAGGCCCCACTGCACCACTTTGTCTCAAACTGCCACCAACAACTTCTCTCAGTTGAGTGTTTCATGCAACGTAGAAATGGTTATGGTCCTAGCAGGACCTGTAGGCTGGTGACCTAAGAGATGGTGGGCCACCCGAGTGTAACCAAAATAACTTAGACGCCAACGAAGCCCCCGCGGCCTTCAGACGGAGTTCTAATAGAGCAGCTGTTTCTTTTGAAACATAAAAATGTGCAAATGCTGCTGCACAAAGTACGGCGTATCCGGTCCCGTTCTGTGTAGAAGTATGTGGCAACTTCCTCTTGGTCATCTGGCCGTCGTTGTGTTTCAACATGACGGAACTGTTCCTCTATGTGAAATGCATGGTAGGCTTTTATTTTTTTCAAGGGTTCACTGCCTGATTTTTGCCAGCGCAATCACTTGGACTGGACAACAAGTGGTTAGTGGAGTTTTGGTCTCTTCAATCCGATCTATTAGTCAGAATGTTTAACAGCCGGCCGCTGAGTGCGTTCGCGCTGAAAGAGCTCATAGCACGAGGACGTGGCCGCTCCAATGGCGAAATAGGCCATCCATGCCTGCGTCACTTTGTCACCTACAACAATCCTAACGAGGAGTTTCTCCTGCTCTAGTTGGCGGCATGCATCACTCAGTCTCTCTGTTCTCTGTCTCGGGCAGAGAAACTAGTGCCCTGCTCGTTCTAGGGGTACAATACAAATGGGGATTTGCTCTCAAACGGAGCCTCAAACTGAATTGGTCTTTGCGGACCATGACGCGGCGAGCCTCTGCACGCCTGCAACCTCAACAAGATGTGCAACTATTTTAGCTGATAACAGAGTCGTTGAAGGCAAGTCGAAATGATACAGCTCTCCACCAGAATCAAGACGTATGACCAGGGACCTGCTGCCGCACCCCTTGAGCCACGCGAGGTAATGCTGGAACCGAAAAGCACTGCATCACCGCCTTACGTCAGGCTCTGATTACAGGAATAGTAATGTCCAATTGGCTCCAGCAGAGAGGAAACACGTGCGCTGTGGCTTCTTGGTCCGTACCAAACGTTTGGTAAAGGAAGCTTTCACAGATACAATTTCAACACATGACGACATTTTCAACTCTGTTTGATACTCGAGGTAAGCGTCACCTCTTCTCAGAGTTGACCAAAGCGTCTCTGGAAAATACAGCTGTCGAGGAAAAGCTTGTGCAAACTGCAGACATGTCTACAACTGTGGCGAATGGAGAAGAGATGCGGAGAAGAGGTGTGTGTGTGTGTGTGTGTGGCTCAACTGGACAAACAATAATAACCCCTCTAGCCTATTATATTCTCATCACAAGTGCTTTTGGGATTTGGAAGCAAATTCAGCTGTCAAATCACTTACTCTTTGTGCGTTTTAAACTTTAAACTCCTTTTGTAAACCCTTTATGCACAGTAACGTCCACATGATGCTGAACGATGTAATGACAGTGGCAGATTTTACAGAATCGAACACAACGAGGTAAACACAGAGCGAACTGTGTGCTAAATTACCAAACCTGAGGGCCCTGCTGCTGACACGGCCCACGCATCTATGGCAACGCACAACAACACTTTTATTTTTTTTTCCGCCTCTTTTAAGAGATGGATATTAAAATAAATATTTTACGTTTAGGGAAAATGTGGGGACTGCAGCTAAAATCCAGGGCCATATTTTAACATGTTATGACTTGTGTCTCGCAGCCTCCAGTTTGCCTGATATTCATTCAAATGCTGCCACGAGTCCAACGCGAGCACAAAGGTTAAATCGGGGGCGTTACAATTGAAATGCAGCTGCAGGCCTGTTAGCTGTCGCCTCACCAGCCTCCTGCTAATGAGAACGCCTGTTGTTATCTAACAAGCTGCTGACACACATCGAAAGTAACAAGCTGACTTCAACGATAATCTGCTATATCATACATCAAAATACATGTACACATAACCTCAGAGTCTCTGATGTAAATATATACACACACACTTTGACAAGTGTACAAACACGCCGTATTAATCATGGAATGAACGACAAAAGAAATAGTCGCTTCCTCATTTCTTCTTCTGCTTTCTGATTTCCGCTGCCCGGCAGGTGCAACTAGGGGCGGTGAATGTTTTTAAGAAATCCAAACCCTCTCTTCTCTCTTCTCCTGCCTGTTCTTTCAGAGGCCGGTTGGATTACTGTACCACAGGGATGAGTCACCAGCCCCGCGGCCGACAGTCTGCTCATCCAGCCCCCCCCCGTTGTATCGGGAGATGACACGCTGCTTGAAGAAAATGTATTTGTATTTCTGTGGGGAAATATATTCAGTGGCAAATTGGGGAGGGCAACTCGTCCTGCTACAAAATGCCTGTTTAGATGGCACATTAATAACATTGAGAACATTATGCATACAGAGTGCCAGGTGCCCTTTTTTGGTGACCATGTGCAAGTACAAGTGCACAAAAGAAAAAAAACACTGATTTAATGTCATTCTTAAGGGAGAAAATCCCAAACTGAATTGACCCTAGAACCCTCAAACACATCCACTTGTCTGCACGTGTGTGCACGCGCTTCTCCGTGCATGTGCAGTTTAACTTGAGCGGGCCTGCGCCCTCTGATAAGCAGGTCTGGTACACTTTGTGACTGTCTGAGGTCCTCCAGGGAAGGCCGGCTGAAGTGGAGGGGGGTAGTTTGCATTCTTGGCCATTTCATGAAAAAAGGGTGCAACCATGGGAGTAAGCCAAGAGGAGGGCTCAATTATGCATGGTTAAACAAAGCCCAAGGCTACCAGCGAGCAATGTCTCAGCAAACCCGGCCTCACTCTGGAGCTCCGGGCTGCATGAGGATCCTACTCAAGAAGAAGGAGAAAAAAAAGCAACAAAAGGAAACCAAAAAACAAACAGGGACGTAAGAATGCAGCTCCAGTTAAATCACGGGCTTGTGTTATGTGCAGGCACTTTGGAACTAAACTTGTCAGAGACCTTCACAACATTGCTTGAAAGAAGACAATTGCCACAGAGTTTGCGTTTGCCGATGAACCGTCTCCAGAGGCGGGGCGGGCGGCGGAGCCACCAGGGACGACCTGTGCCGAGCACACAAAACAACGACTTATCTCACCCTGGACGTGATCTCCCTGGTAAAGTCCCACAAACATATTTTACAAAGCAATCACCCCCTCTAAGGTTCTCCAGTCATCCTCTGAGACCATTTTTAGGCTTAGGCACACGGAAACATCTGGTTATCTCACAAATATGTTGGGTTGAAAGACCCGTGTCTTTGTTTCATTAGATCACGGACAGCAGCTACCAGAAATCCTAAAAGAATCCTTTAAAACACACAATCAGGACAGAAGTCATCGAGCTCGGAGGCCACTCTTCCGCAGCAAAAGCGCACAACTTCAGCAACTGGACACTTGGCATCTGGCCCCTCTTTCTTTCGACACACAATAAATCGGAAAGTATGTGGCTTTGGTTACATGTAAATTATAGGCAGTTCTTCCAGAGCCGCAGGGGGTGGGGCAGAGGATCAGTGTCCACGTATAGTACACATGTGAATGGAAGCAACCTGGCTAAAAAGCTTTCTCCCAACATCTTCCTCTTGTTTCCCCGGGAAACAGGAGAGGAGGGCTGGAGTCAGGTGTCAGGGGCGTCCAAAGACACACACACACACATAATCTATACTGTGAGCGCGACAAGAGATTTAATTACAGAGTTAAAGACCAAATAATGTCGGCTTTTTATTACTTTGCAGCATTATTAGCTGCGAGGGAGAGAAAAGTTGGGGATCCGTGAAGCCGAAGCCGAACCTGTTGTCTGTGGTTACTGAAACCTGTTGTTGCCTGTAGGATGTGGGATGTTTCTTTGGCATCATCCCTCAGTCAGGCAGTCAGACCTCAAAGTCAGCGTCCGCATCTCTGTTTCAAATATGCAGAAATCATCTGGAAATCATCAGCTCTGTAGGGGAAATTAAGGATGTGGACATTTTCCTGGGACAGCGCCAGAAGAAGCGTTGCAAACGGGTGCGATGAGACAGACTGAACTACCCAGGAAGCTGTGCGTGCTTTTCACAAGAAAGAACAACTCTTCAATCCTCATATTTATGCACTTTTTTGCACTTTGTTGCAGCAGGAGTGTTGCATGGGGGGGTTGTACGGAGGGAGAGATGTGAGTCAAGGATATTGAGGGGATGAAAGCAGGGAGGGAGATGCAACAAGCTAATTATTGTATTTTGGCCCAAAATGCACCCGCTTTCGCAGAAGTTGCTGCAGCTGCTACGCCACAAAAGCGCATTGAAGCAATTAAGCTACTTGGCGGCTTGTTTTGCACAACGAAACTCCCCACACCTCTTTCTCCGCGTCATATCACAGTCAAACCTCATCGCGCATCATTTCATGCATTCGATGCATACTTATAATGGCACCCATTTTCAACGTAAACTGATGCACGCTAGAAGGAGGAAAGAGGCTGAAGGGGTCGGCCGTCAGGATAACACACTCCACGGCCACAATAGCATTCCATAGCACATGCCTCATCAACATTTTAACCGCGGGCCCCACGATGCACCAGCTTTAGCTGGTATGTATTACTCACCACAGGAGCAGCAGGTGAAGCAGTTTGTGTGGTACAGGTTCCCCATGGCCTGGCAGGCTTGGCTGGCTCCGTACACACCTTTCCCACATTTGACACAGATACCTGTTAAGAGACAAGCGGGCAGTTAGCCGATGATAATCCTGAGCTGAGTACTTTGTGAGGGAGCTTCCGAGATGAAAGAAAGTCTCCTGGTGAATTATTCAAAAGCACTTTGCCGTCATGAGATTTTAATATCAACGGCTTAATGGCTAATGTGATGCTAAACATTTTGAAACTGAGGGGATTTTGTACTCGCTTGTACTGTCCATTCAGCACACTGTCTGCTGCTGTAGCATCACTGGAAACAAACCGTTTACAAACATTGGTGACAGCTTTGCTGCAAAGCTGATAAAACAAAGTGCTGCTGCCAAATAATGCATGCATTAAAGTAATAATGCAGGAAAAGGATAAACATGCTACAGATGGCACAGCTACTGTAGGTCCTCCTCTAGTCTGCTAGCCTACGACACCACGCTGCCAAAACCAAACATTAAACCGGTGCTCATCGGTTTCCGGGTGGGGATAATCAACTCCCAAGTAACATTTCTCAAAATGATTCATTTCCCGGTGTCATTTCTATGTACACTACATAGAAACACCACTTCAGAGGAGCTGGTGGTTGTGTTAGAGAGGATGTGAGGTCAGGAAGGGCGCACCAGAAACAGGATTGTGCTTTTCTACTTTGCCAAGAGGTCAGTGACTGCTGAAGAAACTAAAAACAGCTCTGAGTGGATTTTTTAAGTATAGCGGTCATTGCGGAGAGGCCACAGCTTTTGAACATGGTGTGAAACACTTTGCTGTCTATAAATGAACACTGAACGTGCACAACTGGATTCTGTTTGAGATGCTTTACGTATGAGGACGGTGTCGTCCCCCCACTGACTCCTCTACTGTATTTTAGGTCGTTAACAGGATTTTAGAAAGACTTGAGTCTAAACGTCCTCACTGTCAGACACTTTCCAGAAATTGTCTTTAAATATCTAAAAATAGCGTTATTATTTATAAGTCATTATGAATTAAAATCTCACCAGCTCCGTCAGGGTTTGTTTGATGAGATTTGACAGGAAGTGCTGATACAAGAAAGCCCACCGGCTGAAATCAGACTTTGATTCAAATGTTACTAAATGTGATTGGAAGGGGACGTCCCCCTCTCTGTAGGACAAAAGAAGGACCTTTACAAAGTGAATAACTATGCTGTACAAACGGCCAGTTTGACCAATGACCAACTCTTGGAGGAAATGCCCAACTAGCCCACGGGTACACAACTACTACACATTAAACCTGAACACAAAGAGTGTTATTACCTTTAGTGGAGAAATGAAATGAGGGGCATTACAAAAAAGACGCATTAAACCATTTGGACGCAGCAGACTAACGATCTCCAAACTCTCACGCACAAGACAACCTCCACCGGGGTCACATTCCTCAGGGAGGGCAGGGTCAAAGCCTGGGTGGGGTGAGTCCAGGGTCACAGGGCCTACAGGACACAAGATCCCAACAGGGAGCTGAACCCCCCCCTTCCCACTCCCCCCTTTATCTTTTGAAATAAATACAGAACTCAGGAAGGATTCGGAGCAAGGACACGCTTTGGGGGACGTAAATCGTAGAATTTCCCGGCTATCTGACGCAATTATTTCCCCCTCGTAACAGCAACAGTGGCATTATAGTGAACAAAAAAAGGACAAGCAAATGTTACATGCCTTCCGTCCCTTTGAACCTCACAACAAAGCGTTTGCACAAATAAATTCATCTTAATCAAAGTCAAATATTGGCACTTCCTGGTGGAACCTGAACTCATCACCTCACAAGCAACGACAAGAACAAACGAGTAAACCTGGAGTGCGTCATTTCTCCAGCATGAAAGTCCTCGATGGGAAGAAGAAGAAAACATTTCTATTTTTACCTCCATGGATTCCTTATTCAAAGACGAGACCACTCCGGGGAAATCTCACAGGCAGTAAAAGTAAGCATTCCTCCTGACCAACACATCGGATTTATCCACCCGCGGCCAAAGGCGGTTGAAGCAGAAGCATTCTCCCAATCTGCCGGCGGAGCAGCAAGCCGGCTCCCCCAGTCGTTGATAATGAATAGCGTTTACTGTTGCACATCCTTTATTTGAAATTCTGTCACTCCTGATTCGCCTCCTGGCTGTCGCTGGTTCAGCGAAGGCTTCTCATCCGTCACTGCGGCAGGACATAAGGCCACTTTGTGAACAGGAAACATTGTATAGACTCAAAGAGAACTTGACTGGAAGTAAAAACTCCCTCTTTTAGCCGTTTTACCAGGAAATCATTCATACGCAGAACATTTGCTCCCGGTCGATTACATTCCTCTCAAAATGATCTGTTTCATTTAAAACATCCACTCGTACCACGCGCTCACGCCAATGTTGATGAAACAGCCCATTCAGCTTATGACTGATGCAGAGACTATAAATATGCTATTGTAGTATCATATTTATAAATAAATATGGCATTCTATTAACCTTAAACTGACCACTGTACAAACCTCATTTTGCCTCATCTCAGTACAAAATGAAATCAAATGTTACAGTATTTGTGCATGTGATCGTTTTGTCATTTCGAGGGTTTCTACGTCATTTGTGCAAGTGTTACGTCAGGAGGCGCCGGCCCATCACGCCTTTGGACCTTCTCCGTTATTGCATCGGGTCAGCAGACTTCCTTCAATGCTCATTTGCGCTGAACTCAATGGAGCAGCTTCTCTGTTTGCAGTAATCCTACTCCACCGGTTATGAATGTTACCGGTGATTGCGATATGGCGGTTTTGAGATACGGCCTCTATGTGAATAAGGCAAACTCTGATTACAGCGTGCAGCGCGAGCGCTGTTTGATGCTTTGTTCTTTGTGTATATATTTCTCGACTGCGCGTGTTGCACTGCAGCCTCGACACACTTGCACAGAGCGACCAGGAACAACTGGCTCACTACACGTCGAGTGGACGAGCACAACGACACAAATCTATCTGGACCCAGATAGCAGGCGCGTGTGTGTGTTGCTGCTCCTTTATCTCATGTCACCATGTCTCTACTCTTACACACAGTTATCTGGCTGCATGACAGACAGAGAGAGAGAGACCATTTCCATCTATTTCCCACAGAATGAATCTAAGGCCACGCATTTAAAGACGGGGGCTCTTTCGCTTTGCTTTTCAACCCAACAGCTCAACAAAAAAAAAATGTATTATTAAAGCCATGTGGATTCACCTACATTACTTTATTCCCTGTAGTTGCAACTATATTGAAGGTTCTCTTAATCTATGCACCGTGTGTTGGCGAGATTGTTACGAGTGAGGCTGCGGTTCACGGGACAGTACAGGAACGAAACACTCTTCACATTCATTAAAAACAGGATGCCGAAGCCCCCATGTGCCCATTTCATAACATGTTCATGTGGCAAGGACAGGATGTTGTGCCTTCACTGGGGTTAAAAATAAAACGGCATCACTGGATGCACATGTACATTCCTGCACCTTTGAACGGAGCACTGTTGTTAAGATCAGGCCCTAATCTTTTCTGTGGCGCCGCTGCTCAATATGTGGCTGTGTTATTATGCCTGTGAGAAGGCTTTTTAACATCAAACTCAGACCGGATGAGTCTAAAGATGAAGTGAAAACATGTGTATCAAAGAGAGACTATGTTATGCTGTTTCTGAGATGTGCTGGATCAAAGATAGAATAGTGACATATCGGTGACTCTGCAATGAAATTAAAATAAAGTGATAAAGCGATCTGCCATCACTGAAAACCACATTGAACGTGCAGCGAGTTGTAATAAGGTTTGCTCGGCCTGACTCGTGAAAATCTAACGAACGCCCAGTGTGACTTTTACGTCTTACAGCGCAACACCACTGCATGTCTTATTGGGCTGATTCAGTTTCTGCACACGGCGTCTTTGTGTGTCTGACCAGCACAAAACACTCACAATCCTGTAAGATAAATCAATAATGTGGCAGCAACACCAACACAAAGTGTACAATGTGTGTGTACTGTGTGTATTGAAAGCAAACAATCACAGTTGCAGACATTAAAAACGGTTTTGTTTTGGTCCTTGAGAAACTCTGGAGCTAGTGTTTGATTTGACATGTTAGCTGTTTACTGGACTCCCACTGATATGCAATGTGAACGCTTGCCGCATTTACAAATTTACACCAAGGGAACAAAGGGGAGGAAAAGGGGAAGGGGACAGCACGGAGACACGCCAACATTTCAGCTCAGCGGTCAAACAATGTAACCTTAAATATTACAGCGAGACTTTAAAAAATAAAAACCACAAATCTAATCTCATGTGGGCTGCCATGCGTGCTTGAACAGTAAATACAGAGGCGCTGTGTGCTGTCGGGGCTGTTTGTCGGGCCTGTGCATGACTACTGCCATTATAATTCTGGGCAGGTGATCAGACTTGACCCCCACCAACTATGTCTGGCCCGCCTGCCAAGATCGTGTGCCAAGTGTCTGGTGTTGCCCGACTCCCCACCGGCTGGTTAATGAAGGGCTTCGCGGGGGAGTCTGGGCGGGGTGGTGTCGCTGGTGGAGAGGAAGGGTGGGCCTCCCTCCTCTGCTTCAATTGCAGGCCTGTATCGGGCCAGCTGTTGATTCACAGCTCCTTCTCCACCACAACAAACACAAGGCCACAGAGGGGCCGGCCCGGCGGAGAAGTACGCCGCCGGCCCCCTCCTCCCCGCCCCGGGCCCCCCATTCCATAAAAAGAAGGCCCCGGCAGTCAATTTCTCCTCTGTCGCTACGGAAACAGAGCTGTCTCTATTGGGCTCGGAGTGTCTGACTGCATTCTTCTCTCTATCTCCCTCCTTTTTCCGTCTCTCTCCATTATCTCTCCAGCCCCCTCCCTTTGCAGTCTTCCTCATTTCTTCCTCCCGCTCTCACCTGCCTGTCTGGAACAAATCAGCAGCTGTCTCAGCCTCACTCTGAGCAAGTGCACTGGCTATAAAACACACCACTGTTCTCTGGCTGCAGCCATTTGTCTGGCTGCTAATTCAAAGGGAGACAGCAACTTCCTCAGCAGGCTTTCAATGCCTGTGTTATTGCAGGCCGACTAAATATATATATGGCTCCACCGTGCCGTTGCTCACAAACATGTACCGCAATGTTCAATTCGTTAAAGCGGATCAAAAGAGAAATCACTGGCCACAAGCTGTCTTTTGTCTAAGATCGGAGGACATTATGAGGCATTTCCAAACCCTCCGGAGCCCACCGCTCCGAATGACCGAAGGGTGTCTGCTCTTGCCGAACACAAGGTTCCATTCAGTGGAGCAGCGCAGTGCAAATGTTTGCTCTGCCAAGACAGAAATCAGTATTGCCCTGCAATGCCACTCTTATCTGCAACAGAGGGAGCTGTTAGTGGTAATGTATCTGTAGCAGGTTGCAAATGGTCCTTGAAGAACCCCCCCCCCCCCCCCCCCCCCTCCCATGTCCCAAAGAAAAACACAGACCAGCGAAAAAACTATCTTTCATCAATTTCTCTGAATTCCAATTTAGGTGAGCACTTAACCGCGTGCCAACGTTTTACGCTGTTTGTCCTAGTATTTGTTCATTGGTTGCCATGGACAATTCTAGACTCAAGTCTGTCTGTGCAGGAACAAAAACCCACAGCAGGTTTTGCTTGGAAAGTTACATTATGGCCGTCTGACGGATATTTCTTGTGCTAAAGTGTGACAAGGACAGAGTGGCCAGGAGCATCAGCGCCTGAGGCGAGTCTCAGGGCTGAGCTGTTGGGACCAGATGAGTTCCTCCTATATCTACCAAGCACTGGCAATCAAATGACAACTTTCGATATGCGTCTTCCAGGATTAACTTGGGTTGATTTGAGACCTCGGCAGCCTACACGTGTGCAAACACATTGTACATAAAATGCACCTTTGATGCTCTTAACTTCCAGGCTAGAACCAAATAAACCAATAAAGAACATATCATGAAAGAGAAGAACACATTTCAAGATCACATGAATTGAAATGCTGATGTTTGCAATTAATTATACCCACCAAAGTATTCCTTTTTCATGTGCATCTCTAACTCCTTTTCCAGCTCCAAGGTCAGCGCCTCCAGCCGCCTCTCCGCCTGGCTCGGTCCACTCTCCCGGCTGGGGGTCACCTGGTAAGGGACCTTAAACCTCTGGCTCGAAGACGCCGTTTTTGAGCACACCCCGTAACTAAACGATGCGACCAACCCCGCGGCCATCTCCAGCGTCCCCCCCGTGTGGGCCGACTGCTGCTGGGGCTCCGGCCCCTGGAGGTGGACGCGATTCTGGAGCCCGTTGGCATCTCCGAACTCCTGGAGCAGCGTGTCCTCCTGCGAACTGCCGCCCAGCATCGACGACCTCGGCGAGGGCAGCTGCAGGTCCGGGTAGGTGCTCATAGACCCCCTGGAGCTGCGGGAACTCCTGGAGCTGTGGCTGGAGATGCTGGAGCGCGGGCTGACCACGCAGTTGGCCGTCGCGCCCGGCCTCGCGCTCCCGTCCTGGCTGCAGACGCTCGAGCGAGGGCTCGCCGCCGGCGCTGCGTGCAGAATCGCCCCCTCCAGGTCGTGGTGGACCACGGGCCCGTAGCGGGAATCGGAGTAACTGGACCTCGGGCTGGTGGTGAAGGAGTACTGGCTCGCCGTGCTCGACCTGGGGCTCGCGTGCCTCTGGTCGTAGCCCATGCTGATGCCGCTGGTGCGGTTGCTGCTGGGCTTGCTGCAGCAGTCGCAGCTGTTGAGGCTGGCCCGCGGGCTGGAGTGCTTGCTCGTGTCGCTGGCGGTGCTCGCATAGCTGGACCTGGGGCTGAGCGCGCTGTTGCCCTCGCAGTGCGCCAAACTGGACCTGGGGCTCGAGTACCGGACGCTGGACCTCGGGCTGGCGTGCTTGCCCTGCTCCTGGGGGGACAGGGACGACGCTAAGCTGGACCGGGGGCTGGTGGCGCTGTACCTGCCGTCGTGGCTGCTGCTGCTGATGCAGACGCTGTTGCACCTGTTGCCGGGCGGCGCCGCCGCCGACGCCGCCGGCTTGTTGAGGGGCACGCCGTCGAAGGCGCAGCCGGTGCTGTACCTGTGGCCCTGCGCCTCCAGGGAGTACCGGCGGTGCCTCTCGGAGGCGCCCGTGTAGCACGGGAGAGCCACCTCGGATTTGGTGCAGCAGCCCCCCTCGGCGTAAACCGCGTCTCTTTGCGGGGCGCAGAAATCCACGGGCACGGTCCGGTTGCAGTTCACGGGACGCACCGGAGCCGCGTTGTACACTTTGGTCCCCGGGGTGAAGTTCTCCACCGTGTGATGCTGCTGGTGGAGCGCGGACGCGCCGTTCATCGGGTGGCTCTTGTGCTCCGCGACCGGCGGGGCCGAAAAGTCCAAATCGGGGTTAATCACCAGGTCTCTCCTCGCGTTGTACATCCCGTCGTTAAACGCGCCGTACAAGGAGAGGTCCTCCATCATTTGACTGGCCCGGAGTCCCAAATCCCCCTGGTAATGCTCCATGTTGCGCTCCGGAGGCGAGGGACAAGTTGAGAGCGCGCTGCGCTCGGCGAGCCAAAACTAGCGAGCAGCGCGGAGCGCTAATTGCATTTCTCATGGAAATCAAAACAAAACGCGGCGGAACGCAGCCTTCGCTCATTTACGGACAAAACCCGCTCAGAGGCTTTCCGCCGCGCGCCGCATCGTCTTCTCCCGCCTCGGCCTCCCTCGCCGAGAAAAAACAAACTCTTTCTCACAGTTTGTGGCGACAGGGATACGTTTGTCAACTTCAGTTTTTGTTAAGTTGAAAGGTCTTTACAGTCAATGGCGCGCTGCGCGGAGGAATTTCGCCGTGTTGGTTTTTTCCTCTAGTTTCGCCCGCGGTCAACGTGCTGGAAGTTAAAGTCGGCAGAATAATCGGATACGCCACAAACACCCGTCGTATGTCGACGTGAGTTTAGTAAGCGGGCGGGATTCTGATTAAAAGGCCGTTTTACACGAGGGACTCGTTCGCGTAAAAGGAATGCGGGGATGTAGACAGGATGCGCTGCGCCCCTCTGGAATGTGGTTAATGCTGCAGAGAAACAATGATTGCGACCAACTCAGCAAGGGGCTGCCGGCTCTGAAAAGAGAATAGTTTAGAGAGAAGGGGACGTCTGCATTCATCGCGGGCGGACTGAAATACCACACAAAGCACGCCTCACCTGGTCCGACTCCTTTAACGCCCGGAATAAGCTGCAGCGAGCTGGTACTTTAGAGGGCAATAACATTTAAAACGCATGTTTGTCCTGCTTTTATTTGAGATGCTAAGATGAGGACATTCTCAGCTAACCCCGTTGAAGTTTAACCTCAAATCCATATTTGGACTATGTCCAGTTATCATAGCTGATAGGGATATTATCTGTGCAACAAAAATACAAAAAATATAAAATACACCTCAAAGTATCTAAAACATAAATTGCGTGCATTGAATGAATACGTGAAATTCAAATTTTTCAAAGTTAATCATGAGTAAAAATGGAACCATCGCCTTAAATGGGGGCTTGGTGTCATTTTGGTTAATCTTATTTGTTGAATTATTAGTGCAGAGATGTCATTTATATGTGAAATGTTGAGAAGGCCACTACATCTTTGCATAGGCTTCCAACATGCAAACACTTGCCTTAATTAATTAAAATAAACAAGACTAACCTTTGAATCCAGTCATAGAAATACAAACCACATTTGCCATGGAGAATAGTTTATTCATTGCAGTTTTCTCAGCATATCACAATTCCAAAAAAATGCGTTTGGGGATTAGAGTTGTAAAAAAGAGGTAGCATTTGACACATACGAATATGAAATTAAAACATTAAGGTCATTTGATTTTTTGATATTTTCCTATGTTATGGGTATTGCAATATAAAAACACTTTTTTTTTAAAGTAGGTTTTATAATGTTTTTTTGTCATTTTTGCTTCAGCTGCCTCTCAACTTCCAACAAATGGCAGAAAAGAGAGAGCCACGGCAACAAAGACAGAAACAAACAGGATGTCTAAAAGCCATCGACTGAGGGCGGAGCTGTGAGACTTTCTCCCATGGCCTCTGCTTCTGAACCATCGAACAACCTCATCCAGGTCGTACTCCTGGGGCTCATAACCGAGCTCCGCCGCGGCCTTCGCCATGCTGAAGTAGTGCGTCACGCCAGTCTTATACACCTCTGTGCGCGTCAGCAGCGGCTGGAAGTTATAGAAGGGCCCGATGAGGTGGTGGATCATCTCGGTGAGAAAGGCCACAAAGTAGATGAGAGAGACGGGGAGGCGCAGCGTGGGGAAAGGATAGCCCAAGCCCTCTACCAGAGGTCGGAAGAATTCAAAATTATTGACAGGCCTTCCGTCTGAGATGAAGTAGGCCTGGCCAGCGGAGCGGTGCCGCTTCTCTGAGGTCAGCGCCTCAGCGGCCAGCTTGTGTGCCGAGACCAGGTTGTCCACGTGGACGAACTCCACCAGGCTGCCGGGGTCACCGTAAACAAATCGGAAGATGCCCTTCTCTATGTAGCCGACTATCCTGGGCAGGTGCCTCTGCTCGCCGGGACCGTAGATTCCCGCTGGACGCAGCGCACAGCATCTCAGCGCCCCGGCGCCGCCCTTCAGCGCCGTGCCGTCGGCTTTCAGCACTGCCATCTCCGCCAGCGACTTGGTTCTGGAGTAGTGGTCCGGATGAAGGTGGAGAGGTAGATATGGGAGCCTTTCATCCCCGTTCTTGATCTCTTGGCCTCCAAACACCACGTTGAAGGTGCTGGTGTAAACCAGCCGGGACACGCCGTGCTCGACGCAAGCCCTCAGGACGTTCTCTGTGCCGTGGACGTTCACCGCTTCAATCAGACGGCGGTTCAGCTGCTCTCTGCCGGACATGCCGTAGGAGGCGATGTGGAACACACAGTCGGCGCCAGCGACGGCCTCCTGGACTTGTGTGTACTCACGTATGTCCCCTTTGACAAAGGTAAAGTCCTCCGGCATCTCTTCATTTGGAGGAACTGTGTCAAAAAGAATGATCTTGGCTCCTGTTGCGTGGAGGGAACAAGCCAGGCTGCAGCGGGAAAACAAGTTATTGATTACCAACCAATTTCTGCATGAAACTCTTTCCAACACATTAACAGACCAAGACGAGAAAAAGGACCGCTGTGCGTGTGTTTCTGATGCTGGATCTGTGGGGAGTCACAGATCCGTTCTCCCTGACACCGCCGGTGCTGCAGCGCCACCTTGATGCATCCGGGCGGCGTTACAGCACAGAAGCGCTCTGCGACCACTGTGAAACGTCACTTCGTTTCCTTTAGTAATAAACAACATGGCATTGTCCTTACCGATAGCCCAAATAACCACATCCACCAGTTATCACACACGTGTCCGCGCGTGCACGTTCCATTGCAGGTGGACGGATTGCAGGGTTCGATAAGAAGAGGATATCGTTGGTGTTCGGGATCGGTCTCCAGCCGACGAGCTCCCACCACGTGCGTTTATTTCACGACACAAAGCCGTTTCGCTGACGGTGCTCGTGGTAGAAAACGCGGGGATGTCCGTTGTTGTGAAACACTCAGAACTCGAACACGGAACCGGCGACGGCGCGCACTCACGCGCACTTCCGTAGTTTGCGACACCGACGTGCGGGTTACGTCATTTAAGCATAAAACGTCTCTAAAGGGCAAACGTGGCAAAGTGTTTGTAAAGCGTCAGAATAAAGCAGGAAGTAGGACAATGTAGCGATCTGCAGTTTAGTGTATTATTTAATCCACAGTTATCTAAATGATGATAAAACATGTGAAAACTGCATAAGTATCCAATGCATGTATGATTTAATGCGCGTGGTTCTGGAACTCTATTTGCGTCCGTTCTGAAGTTAACCACTGTTTTATCTTGAAAGACGTAACCAGAAGTCTGCTGGCAATGATCTCTTGTACACTATGTGTCACTATTCATGGTTGGAGATATTTTTAAAACGTATTCATGTAATACACTTCTTGTCAAACGAAAACTAATAAAAAATATATATATAGAAAAATCATGAACATGATATGCGTTATTTCAACAACCCCAGCCAGAGTGCGTTAGTGCTCACATAACATACTGCAGCACACATTCTGGCACAGGCAGGAAAGTGTTGGTGCCTCTAGCGGCGATCAGTCATTCCGAATCACCGCGACGACGAGTCGACAAAGACCGTTACTGAAACTTTGCGCCGATACTTTAGGTAAGAGTGATTTTTGAAAAAGTGATCCTATTCAATCACACTGTGTCACACTGTGATTGAATAGGATCAATATAAGAATAGTCGGTAAGTTCCGTACTGGTTATTGTAAGCTTTATTACATTTGTTTTACAGCTCTTGGTTTCACTTCCTCGAGGCGTTTCACCTCCTGGCGAAAATACCCAAACCAACAATAAACACACACGGACAGTTTAACGTCTTCAGATCATTTTGAGTTTTGCGATTTGCCGACCTGCAGTTTGTATTTGCTGATTCGGCTCGGATGCATTTTGGTGACATAACAAAACCTGTGGTGAAATGTTTCCCACATTAGTTTCTTTAAAAAAAAGATGACACTTGATACATCTTTTATGACGTTTACATAATGTTCTGCTTCTAATGTTAAAAGTTTGTTCAGAAGATGCTCTGTCATGATCCATGGTGTCGAAAGCCTTTTTACACACACCAACCTCACCACATTACCCATATATAGTCCTTACAAATATTGGGGACATCTTCAATAAGTTTTGACTTGATCAGGCTTCAACTACTGGTTTTATTTAGGTTTAAGGGTTTCTTAGAAAGTGATATTCTATATTGTCTTTTTCATTTTACAGGCAAGATGAATTTGGAGGAATACTTTGAAAGAATTGGTTTCCACGGATCTTTTGATAAACTGGATCTTGTGTTTTACCTTGATTTTAGATTTGCTGACAAACCTGGCATGTGTTTTGTGACATTTTAACAAAAAGCGCTGTTTTATTTTGTAGTTTTCTGCCTCTTGTGTCTGTGGGTCAACTTCACTTACTGGCCTTGAGTATTTTTGTTTGATTTGTTGGAGAGTTGGTTTTGTTTGCCTTAGCACCTTTGTCTTCTGCCTTTAGGCAGATATTAGTTAAATAAAGTATTTTTTCTGCACTAAAATCTGTGTTTGAGTCCTCCTGTTTCTGGTGCTCGGACGAATCCTGTCCGCTGGGGAGAGATGTTTCCTACAGTTGATATTTAGTTTGATAAAACTCTTTCAGAATTAATCACTGGTGCCATTTTTTGCTTTGTAACAGTAACTGGTGGATGGGACCTCTAAATCAGTCAGCATCATCTATTGTACAGATATCAGGCTTCAACTACTGGTTTTATTTAGGTTTAAGGGCTTTTTAGAAAGTAATTTCCTGTCTTTCTATTTTACAGGCAAGATGAATTTGGAGGAATACTTTGAAAGAATTGGTTTCCACGGATCTTTTGATAAACCGGATCTTGCAACACTGAAGTTGATCCACAAACAGCACGTCATGTCCGTCCCTTTTGAAAACCTCAGCATCCACTGTGGTGAAAAGAACGTCATGGACCTCGATGCCGCTTTCAACAAGATCGTGAGGCGCGGCCGTGGAGGTTGGTGCCTTGAGAACAACTTCCTGTTTGGCTGGGTGCTGAGAGAAATGGGGTACGACACCACGTCGCTGGGCTCCAGAGTTTTCGACCATTCCCTCAATGATTTTGGCCCCCTTGATTCTCATTTCATCAACAAGGTTGTCATTGATGGAAAGGCTTACATAACAGATGTCAGCTTCGGCATGTCTTTTCAATTGTGGGAGCCCCTGGAGCTCGTCTCTGGAATGGACCAACCTCAGGCAGCGGGTGTCTTTCGCCTCCTTGACCAGGGGGAAATGTGGGTGCTGGAGAAAACTGGTAGAAAGCCGGAGGTTCTCAATCCAGAGTTTGCCAAATCAAGTCTGGTGAAGAGGAACGAAACCAATCAGATCTACTGCTTCACCTTGGTGCCTCGGGAGGCCGAACATTTCCTTGAGATAAACCACAAACTCCAGAACGAGACGTCACTCTTCACCAATAAGTCCATCTGCTCTTTGCAAGCACCAACAGGATTCAGAGCCCTGATTGGTTGGACCTACGGGGAGGTCACCTACAAACCCGACGAAGGAGTGGACGTCTTGGACATAAGAAACATAATGGACGATGAGATAGAGCAAATTCTTCTTGAAAAGTTCAATATAAAGCTGCAGAACAAACTGCAGCCTGTCAACAACAAGTCACACTACACATTCTGAAATCCTACACATGTGCTGTTTGGAAATTGATCTGGAAAGATCCCTCAACCTGTGACAATCTAACAACCAACCAGGTAGAGCAGCTTGTTGAAATTTTTTTGAATCATGAGCAGTGCTTTAAATTTAATCGTGTGTACATCAAAAATGTAATCAGTTTTTTTCTTTTGTTAATGCTACGAGCAGACAGGTTGTTCTTAAGTAGAGTTTTAATGACCAAATACAAATTTTAACCCATTTTTGTACGTGTTGTCTGGCAAAAACATAACTTTTTAAAACGTTCTTCATGATACCTAGGACTGATTTGCTGGGATGTCATGTGTATTATTTTATTATTAAACAATATACTTGGATATATATTTTTGAAAACAAATGAGCTTGTGGTTTTGTTTGAATGCTGGATGTGTGTTTTTTCGTATTGAGAGTATTTCCAGCCACAGAGTCAGTTTTTAGCATTGACAGTGTAGTGTTGTAGAGAAAGACCCATATGTCGTTCATCTGACTGCATGTCGTCCGGCGATGTAAACTGTCTTTAGGGAATCCGACATCCACTTTCACCAACTCGCTTTAAGCCACGTAGATATGATGCGACGGGAGACGCATGTTAGTGACGTCAGTCCGCAGCGGCGAAAACTTCTCCGAAGATCGACTACAAAGAGGCGTCTTAAGACGCCTTCATTTATGCGTTGTTACAGTGCCGTGACGACAAAAACAACCAAGTTCAAAGTATTAACAAGGTTGCAACATAAAGGACTTATGCTAACGGTTACTCACACGATCTATTTACGTTTCTCGGGCATGACCGTTAATTCTCACGAACGGCCGAATGTTACGTCACTATTTAAATAATGCCGCCGCAAAGAGTTGTGGGACGAAATGATCTCTTTTCCTTTTATAACGGATGGCCCAGTGGTTCCTATGCTAAAATAGCTAAGTAGGGAAGCATTGAAGCCTCTTTTCTTAGCATTCAGAAAATTGGAAACAGCTCTTATCATGGCGGCCACATACACTACATCCGGGTCATTTCACGCAGTTTCCTCCTAAGCGTGACAATTCGAATCCAGTCTAAATGCCAAGGAAAGGGGGCTTCCGCGTCCTTTATTTAGCGTCTTTAGTACGATTCTTTCTAAATCTAAATAAACTGAATAAATAACTCTTAACTAATCCTATCCATACACACATACAAATACCCTTCACATGAAGCTGGGAAAACATGTCTCAGCCTCTCGGACTATCAGCACCGGTTCCCCCCAAGGCTGCGTTCTTTCCCCTCTGCTCTTCTCCCTGTACACCAACAGCTGCACCTCCAGTCACCAGTCCGTCAAGCCCCTGAAGTTTGCGGATGACACCACCCACCCGGTGTCGTGGTGCAGCCAGAACAACCTGGAGATGGATTTCCCCCATTACCCTGTGTGACTCCCCCGTCACCACTGTGGATTCCTTCCGTTTCCTGGGCTCCATCATCACCCAGGACCTCAAGTGGGAGCTGAACATCAGCTCAATCACCATGAAGGCTCAGCAGAGGTTGTTCTTCCTGAGGCAGCTGAAGAAATTCAACCTGCCAAAGACGATGATGGTCCACTTCTACACGGCCATCATCGAGTCCATCCTCTGCTCCTCCATCACCGTCTGGTACGCTGCAGCCACAGCCAAGGACAAGGGCAGGCTGCAGCGCGTCATCCGCTCTGCAATCTGCCGTCCCTGCAGGACTTGTTCGCTTCCAGGACCCTGAAGCGAGCTAAAAAGATTGTCCGGTCCCCCACTGACTGACTCTGACATTCCACTGGTCACTTTCTTCACACTGCACTCGTCATTTTTCACTTTCTGTTCGCTGGTGCACTTTTTTTTAAACTTTAATTTCTTTAATTTTTTTACTTTACTTTTTAAGTTGTATTCCTTTATTTTTAAACTAACCCATAGTCTCACATTACTAACCCATAGCATTATATTTTTATTATATTTGATTTGATTCTCTTGCACTATGTTTGTTTTGTTGTCCATTGTAGTACTGTCTGCTGTCAAGCACAAACCGCCAAGTCAAATTCCTTCTATGTCTGACATATTATGGTAATAAATGTTTTGTGATTCCTGATTCTTTAGTTAGATCAACACCAGTGGTCCGTTTCAAGAAGCAGGTTTATGATTTGATGAGGGAAACTCTGGCTTGTCTGTTTCACAAAAGGAGGTAAAGCTCAGCCTGTGAACACAACCTGGTCGGGAGCAGGTTTTCTTCAATAAACCTGGAGTTTCTTTCACAGTCTCCTCCCTCTGACAGCAGTATCGTTTTTCTTCACAGTCCATCAAATATGTACATGACCTCATCTGTCCTAACTAACGTCACTCATCGTGGACATGCTCTCACGTATGAGCACATTCTTTGTGTAGTGTATTACTTTTTTTTGCAAATGGCAGTTTCCTTTACAACATTATAATATTAGTAAAGAACATATATATATATATATATATATATATATATATATATATATGTATGCAGAGCCGTGAGAAACGTGTGCCTCGCTCTGAAACGTCTTTTAAACGTTTTTGTTCCCAGGACACAAACCAGTGAAGACATTAAAGAGGAGATCCACAGGATGCACCTCAATAAAATACATTGTACCAGTTTTTACCAGCAATATTGTTCTTGTGATTAAATATGAGCATGGGTGTCTATTTCAAGCCTGTGTGTAGTGCATTTTGGTGTAAAAGCTGGGAATTAGTAAAACGTATAGATTATGATGAGTGTGTACATGAATTAACTGACAACACTATTTCGGAACTTACAGCAATTTTCTGTCTTTTGCTGCAGTAGCGGCGTTACTTTTCTTTCTAATTACGGGTTCACACTCGCCGTACGCTTGCATTAATATTACCAGCTCAATAGGGGTGAATATATTATTTGTGGTGGTTGCCATGGTAACTCGTAGTATCATGGCTCCATTCATGCTGCCTTCATACTGTGGTGGTGCACGCGCTCAAGTCTGAGCCAACCTACTCCGAGTTGATTGAACCAACTCTAAACAGCTGTTCTGAAACCTAAAACTCAGTTTCCCATCTCAGGGTAAATCCACTCAGAGTTTAGGGTTTTACACAGAGTTTGTTAAACCTCCTATACTTGAAACGGACCCCTGATCTGCCTTTCTGTGGTGGGGTTCTGAAGCAGCCTTCTGCCCGGCGCCTCCCCACCAAACAACCAATCACTTTTCAATTAGTCACTTTAAAAGCACCTGCTGTCGGCCTCACTCCCTTTTGGTCCTCCCCTGTAGAGGTATGTTGTATGATGGCATGATTTGTCGTTGATTAATTACGTTTTGTATGCTGCGACATGACTCAATATTCTGCTCTCACCATCACTGACGATATGCTTTCCTTACACAGGTTAGTTTCATATGGTCACAGTTTGTTTAGGAAGGATTCCTAACGAGAATGAATGACCATGACCGAGAAACCTAAATGGATCATGTGATTTAACCATTCGCATAACTCATTTTCTACTGCGCCCTTGTTAATAAAGTAATACTTTGAACCTGGTTGTTTTTTTGTCTGCATGATTCACCACTCTAACGCATGACGGCATCTAAGAAGGAATCTATGCTTCTTTGAAAAATTGTAGTTTGGCCGCTGCAAACTGACGTCACTAACGCGTGTCTTCCGGTTGCGTCATAAATACGTAGCTTAGTGACGAGAGTTTGATTTGCTAAACACTGGTTTTCTTCTATCTCCCTGTGATTTCTCTTAACCATCTTTAGTTTTCCACACAGGTCAAGGAATATAGGTTGGGAGTAATCAAGGCTCTCTGGCAGACATTTTGTAAATTATCCACACAAAAAAAGCGTATTGGAGATGTAAAAAGGTGTTCAGACTGTCCTATTAAAATGTATACAATTTAAGATGGGGAAAAAAACCCCACATGAAATCAGATGTTCACAAAATTCTTGATAAAATATTAAATCATCGACGCAATATTGACAAACAAGTAACATTTGAATTAAGTGATCTTTCATTTCATGAGGAAAGAGCCTGGATGACATTCAAATCAGTCAAAAGTATGGAATGAATACACTAGATTGTAAATCACATTTTTGACGTCATAGTGATTAATTAAACAACTTCACTGAATGCAAGGAATTTCTTAAAATACTAAAGAACAGAAACCTCTGAGAACCTCTGACTAGAGTCCCATGTTTTACTGTGACACGGATGAAATGCAGCAGAATGTGAAAAAAACTGCAGAAAATGATAAAAGTTAACATACATGTGCATTGTTTAAAATTCTAATAGATAAAACACTTTTCTTTAAAAAGAAACAAATTGGTACAGAAAAACTAAGACATAATAATCATGAACTGGAAAAAGTAAAACATTTTTAGATATGTGGTTTGATGGCCACATGGGCTGTGCATGTTGAAAATGTTGACTATTCGACTATTAAATGTAATGCAGTATTTGAGAAACAAATGGGGGCATAACTTAAAACCATTTACAGTGGATTAATTAGATCCATATTAGATCATTTTGTTGGTGTGGTGTATATGGATCAGCAGCAAGCACATCTCTCAAAAAGCTGGATAGGCCACTTGAGCTAAACACAGTTAACATTGAGTTAGTGGGCTAATCGGTCATAGTAAAGGTGCTGGGAAAGGGAGAAGGAGACAGGAAGCATATAGAGCAAAATAACATTAATTAAACTGTTTAACAGTATCACTGAAAAACAAGGAGATAGGGGGGTTGTTCAAATTGGCATCAATACACATGCACACGTCAACAGACACCGCAGTTAGATCAGGTTTTCACAGAATCATCAGAGTCTTGTGAACAAGGTATGAGTAGCATATATTGTCCCAGATTTTAATACCCAAATGGGAAGGGAGATCACTAATGGAATATAAGTGCACACAGACAAATTGATGGCAGGAAAACCATTAAGGGCAATAAGTTCAGACTCGTTGGCCATTAGCAAGTTTGGAGAACAGCTATTCCGACAGTAGACCCGATACCCTTATTGAAGTTCAACAAATACTGTATCAAAGGAAAATGATGGGACTAGCAGTCATATCCGAGTGAAAGGGAATGAGACTGCAGGTAGAGCTACTAAAAAGGCCACAAAAAACATCTCCACCACTGCTACTGTCAATTACAGCAAATCAGAAACTACAAGCAACACTACACGGAAGCAAAGGGTGAAGAATAAATCGGAAGACGGCTGTTATATTTGTTTCTATTCATACTATTCATGCATAGTAGTCAGCAGCGTGCTTCGGCCTCCATACCAGCTGGTGGCGATAGTGCGTCGATTATTTGTCTGCAAACCGCCAAAAAACGCCTGCGTCATTTCCGCCACGATAGACCTACGTCAGTTATATCCGCCGTCGCATC